GTACCCTCACAGGGCTATCTCATCATAAATTCCTAACTAGGCAGGTCAAGCTTGGTAGTCACATCCCAGGCTTAAATATTCCTTATTAAAAGGTTAATCTTCACTTTAATCCAGTCCCGTCCATTGTTCTTATGCTTTGGAAGCATAATCACCCTGGAGAGAGCACATAATCTTGTTACCTACTTTGTAATTCAATCCCCACCTGGCTTTCTCCTACTTTCCTGTAACCTGCCTTATATTCCCTCCTTAATTCCAAATGTATAAAAGAGACTGCAGAACTGTTATTCTCCAGAGCATTTGTGATCTTACCTTCTGGCATTATCATGAGTTTGGCTAAAAGAAACTCAGAGAAATTCTCTGCAGGTGTGGACATTTCCTAGGTCAACACGTGTTTCAGAAACAGCCAAATGGGAAAAGCGCACCATGGAACAAAGGATGTGGGAAAGCATGCAGCTGCCCTGCTGTCTGTGGATGTCCCACCCTCCCAGCACCTCCACGTGTTCACCAACCTGGAGACTCTGAATCCCATTGCTTAGGGTTTTTAAGGAGGTTCCATTATGTAAGTGTATTGATGAAATTGTTGGTCTTTGGTGATTAAGTTGAGTACCGTAAGTCAATCTGCAGCCCCTCTCCTACCCCCTCCCCAAAGGAGACCAAAAATCATTTGTAGATAAGAGCATATATCCCAGGCACATCGCCTGTAGTTCAGACTTGACTCTACTACTTACTGGCTGTGGGATCTTAGGTGAGTTACTATTGTGAATGAAAAAGGGGCTACAAGGCAGGGCTGACAAGCGCAGTGACCAAAAGTAATCACTCAGGGTGATCTGATCATAAATTCCTCACCAGGCATGTCATGATGGGTAGGTAGTCCTCCCAGGCCCATAGCTTCCACAGCAAAAGGTTAATCTTTACCTTTAGCCAGACCTGTCCATTGTTCTTATGCATCTAGGGTAACATACCTTTAAAATGCTAGAGTAATATTCTCCAAATCCCTCATAGGTCCAACCAGAGCACGATGATCCTGAAATTCCTCCTTGTTGTTGCCAGAATACCACCTCGATTTACCATACATTTAAATGTTAACTATCTTGTACGCATCAATATAAAAGATGTACCTCTCCATTTTACTTTTTACCCAATTCTAGAAATTTCCCCTGCCTTGCTCTCCTGCCTCCTCAATCTATCACCAACGGATTTCATGTAGCCTTCTTGCGTTTCACCCTTTGACTCTGAATGTATGTATGCAGAGAACTGCAAAACTGCCATTCTCTGGAGCATTTCCTCAGTCCTCTGAGGTCTTGCTTCTGGGCTTGCTTTCAATTTGCCTCAAATAAACTCTGATAAACTCTTACAAGTGTTTTTATAACTTTTATAAGGTTTGGACTTTTTATCACTGGCACTTTACTAATCTCTACCTCAGTTTCTTCATCTAACAAAGGGGGATAATAATAACACTTAGTGTTGCTGTATGGATTAAATTAGATGATGTATGTGAAGGGCCAAACATAGAGCTAGATACATAACAAAGACTCAATAAGTGTTGGTTATTATAAACAGAATTATGATTGTTATTTGGATACTTCCAAGGGTCTAGCAACCTTTCAGGAGGCAACTTCTCAATATTTGTATGAATTGTGAACCAATGATTTAATCATATACCAGTGTCTGAAATGTGCTTTGACAGAGTAAATTGTCTTTCATGTAGGACTTTAAAATATTATACCTAGAGAATAATATACCTGTTTTATCTTTTCTTAAATAATTTATTTATTTTACTGCTTTAAATCTCCATAATGAGATTTGCAGTTCAAATGGACCTTATAAAAAAAGCTCCTCCTCTCTCCCTGGATGATCCATTTATTACTCTTCATAAGGTCTCAGTGAAAAGCTAGCAGTGTTTTTTTTTTTTCCTTTTCTTTATTGGCTAGGCAATTTGCAGTGTCTGCTACAAAAGATACAGTAATTTTTAACTTGCCAGATTTTCTTCCACAAAGCCCTCAGCAGTGGAGGAGAGAAATTTGTTATCTGTAACCCTGACAGTAATAATTGTTTTCAATTCTCTCTCTGTTTCTCTCTCACCAATCTGATAAGTGTAAAGTGATATGATGGCAACATTAAGCCTGAAATTCATGGATTAGAAACAGGCTGGTATGGAATCAAGTCCATCTGGTTCATTCACAGAGTTGAACTATGTTGAAATAGTCAAAACATATGAGTATTGCAGCTCTTTGGACAGAATCTATTGTCTACCCTTCTTCCTTGTTTTAGCACATTGTTTACTTTGCTTGTCCCATGTGCCATGAGCATATATACCATATGTAAATGACCACATATGCCATATGCCTTAGATATTGCTGCTCCACCTCAGTGGGTGGAGTACTGGTCTGAGAATTGAAAGTTCGCTGGTTCGATTCTCAGTCAGGGCACATGCCTGGGTTGTGGGCCAGGTCCCTAGTTGGGGGTGTGTGAGAGTCACTGACTGATGTTCCTCTCACACATCAGTATTTCTCTCCCTCTCTTTTTCTCTCCTCCCCCCCTAAAAATAAATAAATAAAATCTTTTAAAAAAGTAACTAGATAACATCAAGTGTAAGAAAACACTGCTCTAGTACTTAAGGTGTGCTGCTTCATAGTCTTCATTGTAATCATAAAGCCTTCTCTGTTGTGAGCATCCTTGCTTATTATCATTCTTTAACTTACCCCATACAAAATTTAAGTTCCTATTTCTTAAAAGATTTTATGCATTTATTTTTAGAGAGACAAGAAAGGAAGGAGAAAGAGAGGGAGAGAAACATGGATCAGTTGCCTCTTTCAAGCCCCCACCAGGGGACCTTGCCCACAACCCAGGCTTGTGCTGTGACAGGATTGAACTGGAGACCTTTCGGCTCTCAGACTGGTGCTGAATCCACTGAGACACACCATCCAAGGCTACATTCCTATTATTTTAGAATCTCTTCTGTTTATATTTATTATCTCAGGTTTTTATTCTTGGTTTACAAAGTGTATTGATTTTTCTTAACTTATTTTGATCACTTCAATTTTAACATTTTTAAATCTACTTAACATTTCATATCTTTATCTTTCCTATTTAATTGTTTAAACATTTTTCTTAGCAATGATTATTTTTAACTCCCATTGCTTCTTATTTCCTTCCTCTTTTTCTTTCAAGTAATCCTGATGATTTTTGTCACTTTTGGTCTTAAGAGGTTTCTGATTTTATCTCTTATCTTTCTTTTCACATGTGTATTTTACAATAGCAAGCTGGAAACCTAATTATGAGAACAGGGCCAGACAGTTTTGCTGATGTACTGGTCATAGCTGGAGAGAGAAAGAACAGAATTAGTGCTGAAACCTAGCATTTTAGTTAGAGCCAATGGGCACAACAGGGAGTGACTTATTAAGACAAGAAAAACTGACAGAGGAGTAGGTGGGATTAGAAAATAAGTTTCTTTTACTATCACCATCACCACATAATAAAAGAGAAATCATTTTAACATTAAAAAGAGATACAAGTGCATATATTTTAAGATGAATACTTTTAGTTGTCTGAAAAAATTCACTAACTCTATTTTTTTCTTTCTCATTTTGCAGTGAATTGATGAAACTTTCTGGCATTTGGGACTGATTGCTGTAGATAATGGAATGATTTATAGTCCAGGAAAACTCACTGTGGTACCTACAGAGAGAACTGATTGAAAAGGTTGAAGACAATGCCATTAGAATGGAATCCGTGGAGGTAGATTGCAATTTGTATATGATGAAAGAGAAAGATCTATAAATTTGATAGGAAAGCTGGAGGTTGAGGAAGCGGTGTCTGAAGTCAATTAGTAGATGAAAGAAGCTTTTGCTGAGTGAAATGGTTGAACATTACTTGTTGAAGGAAAAGTGATAATTTCATGAGTTCAACATGGCATCCAGCCGTTTTAATAGGCATAGTCAGTTTTCTGAGCTTCAGAGGCCTGCCCAGACAATATGTTGTCTCTACCTAGTATAATGTTTAATTTAGTACGGCTCTGGAGACCACACTGCTTTAAGGATTTAGTTGAAATAAAAGTAAGAAAATAGTAGTAGTTTGTAAATGTGTTATTAGACACATGTTAAATATTACCCTGAGACCTTGTTTGAAGGTTCTAGCAGGGGAGCGCAGCTACTCCTATATCCTTGACCGAAGACCGGTCCTCTCCTCTAGTCGGGAAGGTTGTCCTCTTTGGTTGAGCGTGCAGCTTCGGGAGGGACACACATGGATCGATGAGGGAGGAAGGGGACACCCGCCTAGCCAGCCAGATCAGCCGAATCAACCCTGGCGATCAATGGGGTGACAGATGTCGCAGCCAGATCGCCCTCACATCCATATATTATCTTAATAAGACTGCGAGTCTCTTAAAATTGAAATTGTCTTCTTTTTCTTACAAAGGTAGCCCTTACGGTGAAAAGGGCCCACGTCCGGACCATCAGTCCTGTTGGTCTCCCACTGTCAGCTTCTTCACCTGCAAGATAGGGCAATGATATGAAGAACAGAAAATTTCTGAGGATGTTAAATGAAATAATGAATGTGTAAAGGAGAAGGAACACTACACGTGTTAGCTGTACTTATCTTTCTCCTCTTCCTCCTCTCATGCTCCAGTACTGGCTACACAGAGAAGGTACTAAATATTTGATGGCTGAATGAGTGATTGTATGACACCGGGCCAGAGCTTCTGACCCTGGAATCGGATTTGCAAAGCGTCCATCTATTAGCTGTGAAGTGGACTGTCAATAAAGTTTCGTTAATTAAAAAAAAAGCACACAGTAAACTACAAATCCCAGCTGTCTCGTGGAAGCCATAGAACCCAGTGGATGGCCAGGAGTGCGGAAGTCTTGCCTGCTCGCCCAATCACGCTGGGAAGCCTGAGCAGCGGCACCCAGCCTGGCCAATCCTGAGGAGGCTTTCTCCGCGCCGCGCGGGTCCCGCCTTCCTGCTCAAGGCTGACGGGTCTTCAGCGGATACGCGGCCCGGGAGGCGGAGCCAGAGATCTCTCCCCGACCTCCTGTGGGGTTGGGCCCTCCTTGCTCGCGGCTCCCGCTCCACCATGGCCCCCAAAGGCGCCTCCAAGCAGCAGTCCGAGGAGGACTTGCTCCTTCAGGATTTCAGCCGCAACCTCTCAGCCAAGTCCTCCGCACTCTTCTTTGGGAACGCCTTCATCGTGTCTGCCATCCCCATCTGTGAGTTATGGGAGCCTGCGGGCTGGGGGAGGCCGCGGGCGGGTCAAGCTGGGCGGGGACGTGGCAGGGCCTGGCGTACGGGCGAGACGGCGCTGGGGCACTGGGCTCGCGCTCTCCCCAGATCGCGCTGAACTCGGGGAAGCAGGTAGACTCTGCCGGCTTCAGTGTTCTCGTCTGGGGTGGCGGTGGGCTGCATCCCACGAAAGTCACTGGTGGAGCTTTTTAGAAGTACGGTGGTTCCCGGGCCTCAGTTGCAGAGATTGTGATTCACCAGTATTGAGATGGCAGCCCCGGCTCTGTATTGAAACCCTGGTTAAGATCTGGTGCTGACACTCCTGCATATAGCCTGTTCTCTGTCCCCTCTCCACTCCCCCGGCCCCAAAACTTTTGTTTGCCCTTTTGAGATCTTAAACTTATCATTACTTATATTGGAGAACTAATGAATTAAAGGGAGGGAGAGGTTCCCATTAACTCGCGCACTGAATTAGAAGTGTAGCTTTAGGTGAACCACTTCATACTGCTGAGCATCATTTTCTTAATTTGACGAATGAGGTTGGACCAGCGATTTACCTTGTTTTACTTTTTTAACCATCCCATTAGGGCAGTTCTCACTTGGATGGCAAAACTTTGCAGACTTGGCCAAAGGTTTTTTTAGGGCTCAGGTTTCCAGAATTTGAATATCCAGTCTCTGTCACTGCTGCACTCTTGTTGGGCATTCAAATCTAGATTTGTGTTTTTTTGTTTTGTTTTGTTTTTTTGTTTAATAAAACCCAGCGCAGTTTACATGGTGTGAAGCCCTTGTGGCTCAGTGGCCGCACTGAGCACGCCTTGAGTTCAGATAACAGCCACGTCAGCAGGTAAACTGTGCCTTAGGACTGCACATGGCATTTTGGAATGGCCTGCATTTAGCTTAATAGTACCCTGATGAATGAACTTGGAAGTCAGAATTGTGATTTTGTTGAGCCAGAGTTCTCATTTTAGAAGACACAGAAATCTCATCTGGAAGGTTATGTTTTTCAAGTGTTCTATATTTGGGTAAAGTTGAGACTGTAAATTTTTACTGGATATCCCACTTAAGAAGTTCCTCATACGCTGCATTACATCCCCTAACCCAGATTGTGTTTTACCAGCAGGCCTTTATAACTGGTGGTAATGTTTTGTTCTCCCCCTTTTTTATCTTCAGGGTTATACTGGCGAATATGGCATATGGATCTTATTCAGTCTGCTGTTCTGTATAGTGTGATGACCCTAGTAAGCACTTATTTGGTAGCCTTTGCCTACAAAAATGTGAAATTTGTTCTCAAGCACAAGTAAGTATATTTCTCAAGTGAAAGTGTGATGCATTTTTATGTAGTAGGATGTCTTAAAGACCATTTGTGTTTGTGTTAGTTTCAGTGAGCACTAATTTGAGATATATATGTATCTGTATTTGGGGGGAAGGCACCTTACTGCTATGAAGAATTACTAACTAACTTGAAGCAGACTTCTACCACTGCTATGAAAGTAGGTTTTGAGTGGAATTAGATCACTTTAGCACTATCTGTAGTCATGGAGTTTAATCAGAAAAACAAAACCACCGAGTAAATTAACATTTCAAAAGCAAATGGAATTCTTTCTGGAAAGAATTGTTCCAGGCTCTCCATGTTCTATTTTTGGATGTGTAAAAAGTGGTCTAGTTGTTACTAAACTCTTTTTATGCTAATTACATTTTTTTCTTATGAGTATATGAAAACGTAAAAGGTTACCATACTTCCTCTACTTTAAGATCACAAATTTTATAAAGTACATCATTTTAAAAAATTTCTTTAATTCCCATCCGGTGATATAATGTTTTTCTTCCATTGATTTTAGATGGAGAGGAAAGGAGGGAGTGGGAGAGGGAGCGAGAGGAAAGGATGGGGAGGAAGGGTGAGGGAGGGAGAGAGGGTCAATCCGTTTCCTCAAACTGGGGTTCAGTCCTGCAACCTAGGTATGTGCCCTGACGGGGAGTTGAACCCTCAGTCGTCTGGTATACGGGACAGTGCTCCAACCAAGGGAGCCGCCCTGCCAGGGCATAAAATATGTCGTTATTTTAATGATAGCGTTTGAGAAGAAAACCCAAGCCACACAACTACACATTTATACATTCATTATAAGCAGTATCTACTCTGGTTTCACAAAGGTCAGAATGTGGGGGAAATAGTGAAAACGTAAGGAAAAGTAGGAACATTTGTTACTTTGGAGCGCTGTGGTCCTCATGGGAGATAGGTATCAATTAATGTTTGATTGGAGAAGGTGCCCATTGAAGTTGCTTTCATGCACACTTTGATACTTGATTCAGGATAGCCAGGACATTTCTCTGCTTCCTTCATGGAGCCTTCTTGGTTCTATATTTCTCTGGAATTACTTTCCTTTTTTTGTTGTTCAAGTACAGTTTTCTCCAGTTTCCCTTCACTACTACGCCACTCATCAAGGCAGTTGGGATTTTGTTGAGACTGAGGTGCCAGTGCACCTCACGTGCGCTTTGTGTTTTCATTCTCATAGTTCCCGCTCTTGTCTGGAAGCTATTTCTGCTCGGATTGCTGTAGCAGTCTTTATCTAGTGCTTTAAAGCTTCAGACCCTCCATGCCATGCACAGTACAACGCACTTACGCAATCCTTATCATTCACTTCTTTATGGAATAACAAAGATGTATTTATTCTTATCAGCCATCATTTTTGTCCTGTCACTCTCTTACTTAGAACTCACCACGGCCTTCTCTTTTCTAACCGTATTAAAGCCACATTCTGCCAGGCCCTAGGGATGCAAGTCATCTGCCTCCTACCAGTGTGGCCACTTGGGCCTTAGCTCTTCTTACTCAGCCTTCATGCCATCCTTTGAAAGGGTTTTGTGCCCTGCCTCTAATGGTCTTCCTTCCTTTCCATTCTTAGATATCTGTTATTTCAAGAGTTGAGAATCTTTTCCAGAGAAATTCTTCCTAAGTGTGTTGTCTCTGAGTTAGGGTCTTTCTGGTGACAAGGAATAGAAACAAAGTGAAGTGATCTCAGTTACCGGGGGTTTGTTGTAAGAAGGACAGAATAGGCTCAGCAGGTGGAAGTGGCCCAGCTGCTATTCCGGTCGCACAGGAGCTCGGGTTGTGCGTGGCTGCAGTTCTGCTTGGCCAGTAGAGTGATCGGCCACCTTTGTCGTCTTTCTGCTCGGCAGCCCCTCTTCACCAGCTGCCACTCCAGGATTCAGCCACCTCCGCCCGCACCGTTCTGGGCTGCCTTCCTTGTGAGGCACCGCCTTCTGAGGACAGTGAGGCATCTCGTGCAGCCCGTCCTTTGCGATCCCCCTGGAACTCAGTCCCTTTGAGACTCGGTGTTTTTCGCTTGTTCCGCATATCATTTTTATTCACTTTTTTGGAATCAAAATCATGTCCTTTTTGCCTTCTCATTTCTACTTAAAACTGCCATATCTTTTGTTTTATATGCCTTATATGACAGTTAAGGGTACATTTATTTCAGTAAACATTTCAATGGATTACTCATTTAATAGATTCGATCGGTGAAATTATATTGAGTCATAGTTTTGGTTCAGTACTAAATATTGCCACTGAGATTGAAACTCCTACAGATACGTAAGAAGCTTAAAGCTCAGAGACGGAGGGGGGTGCCGAGTGCAGACGGGTATTAGTGGTAGAGGGCAGATGACTCAGAGTTCACAGCCTGGATTTCAGTCCGGGCTCTGTTGTTCTTAAGTGTATAACCTTGGGTGTTCATCTCACCTTTCTAGCTTCCACATTCCTGAGATGTAAAGTGGGGGTACTAATGGTGCCTCCTAGGATGACGAGGATTAAATATGATAATGTGTGATATGATGAGCATAGTGTCTGTCACACAGTAACTGTTTATGTAAGTAAGTGTTGGAGAGTTTGGGGGTTAGAGAGCCCTTAGAATTTGTTTTTGAGTTGGCAGGACCTAAAAAATGTTTGCAAAAATGTGCTTATTTTAAGAAATTACATAGGTACTATTGTTTTTAAAGATTTAATTTATTTATTTTTAGAGAGAGGGGAAGGGAAAGAAAGAGAAACATCAGTGTGTGGTTGACTCTCACTTCCTCACCCCCACCACCAAGTAGGGACCTGGCCTGTAACCCAGGCATGTGTCATGACCGGGAGTCAAACTGGCGACCCTTTGGTTTGCAGGTTGGTGCTGAATGCACTGAGCCACACCAGCCAGGGCCATAGGTAGTATTTTTATTTTTTATTCTGGAAAGGTTCAGACATACTGATGTTAAAAAAAAATAGAAAATACAGTTGATTTTGTGGGTTATCTCAGTTGGCTGAGTAGTGGGCCATTGGAGTGACCTCTATTCTTTTTACAGTGCTGAGTGAGGTTTATTAAGATCCTTAAGACAGAGGGTAGGGCTTCTTCTTGAGTTTTAATAAACCTATAGTGTGGTTGTTGAATTTAGAATTTTAGACCTAGAAGAGAAACTAACTCTTTATCTGATTCAGTCTCTTCAGGAGGATTTGTTATGTGAACAGGTGATTGATTCTGTGCCCTTAAAGATGCTTAGAGATAACCAACTTTTTCGAAAATAGTTTATTCCTGGTGTCCTGGCAGGTGTGTGTGTGTGCGTGCACATGGGTATTTTTCGTACTCTCTTCAGCTAAGAAAGATTTCTGCTGTGAACCACGTGCATTTCTTTTCAGTTGGTCGTTCTTGGAAAAGAGTGGGCTTTATGTGAAGTTCAGAAACACTTACTGAATGCCTGGTCTACTAGAGAGGTTCAGAACTTTGCCATCAGTCAGGTGAAGGTGGATTTTTGGGAGGAAAAGGTACATAGCTGTCTGCCCCCTTAGCTGCCTTTTTCTTTAGGTTTCGGAACTCAATTTCCTTTTATCTTTTTTTCTTAGAGAAGTTGATTTTCCTCCCTCCAGTTATCAATTTGTAGAAAAATACTTTATTTGAAACTAACCAAAGGTTTACTTTTAACAGTGTTGGTTCTAACTTGGTTCTTGGGTCAGATACAGAGATAGAGACATAGGTAAAACAAGAAGGAGTTCTTGATTTGTATCTCAGAAGCTCTTGCAGTTAAAGAAAGGTTGAAAACTGTTGCCTTGAATGATCTTTGGCCTTTTTTCAGGAAGCCATCCTGATTTCTCTGGTATTTCGTGGTGCACGAAGCAGAACTAAGTATCGCGTAGTCACATGGACTGATTCACTGAACACAGACTGAACAGATTTCTGTCTCTGCGTTTCACGTTCTGTTGTTTTTAGTACATCTCAGTATCGTGTCAGATGTTTTCATAGTGGGACTCTATGTAATTGTTATATGTTGCTTGCATTCAGTTTTTACTTTTTCTTACTATAGATGGCTAGCAAGTTTTTCCTAGGTTGTGAAAAATATATCATGTTAAATTTAACTCATAATTTTTGGGAGACTTTGTATCTCATCATAGTTTAAATTTTATCCTCCCTTTCATTGGCAATCCATCTGATAAAATTCATCATACAGATTTTTTGATGAGTATATATTTAATTTCTCTTTAGTCTGACTTGTCACTGAAGACTCTGATCTGATATTGTGAATATATCATTTCCAGCCTTTTCTGGTCTATTCCATAGTATCTTTTTGGGCAACTCTCAAACCAGTGGTCCATTTAAGTAAAAGTGGTGTGGTCAGTCCCTGACCACGCGGTGTTATTTCTTGTTAGTGAAATAGCCCTTTGGAGTGGAGTTAAAAGCATTACTTTCAGATATCACAGCTGTTAATTTCCCTTTTGTTTTTTTTTTTGAACCTAGTTTTCTCTCCCATTATTTACTGGAATTAAAGTCATAAATCATTTGCTAATTAATGCCTTGTCAAATTTATTTGTTGAACAGTTAAATTATAGGCTGAAACAAAATGGGTTCATCATGACTCATAACTAAATCGTGCTAATATGATTTGACTTCAGTTTCCATATTAAATACATAAACTTTGGAAAATTCTTCCTTTTAAGCAGAAACGAAACACATAACTAATAAACCATATCTTGGAAGTTTCTCGAACTCCCTCTCTTTTGGCTAGTCCAGTGTAATAAACTTGGAACTTCCTGTACAGTTTACTTTTTTGAAATGTAAAGTATCAAACAGTTGCCAATACAAAATACGAGCACAGGGTGTTCCTGGGAGACTGCGGCGTTCACTCCCGGGGCACGCGGAAACATGTTTCCTTCTCCTTCCAGAGTCGCACAGAAGAGAGAAGACGCTGTTTCCAAAGAAGTGACGCGGAAGCTTTCCGAAGCTGACAATAGGAAGATGTCTCGGAAGGAAAAAGATGAAAGGTTTGACTCCTTATTGAAAGTGTTTGTGGTAATCACACAAAAGGCATACTTTGTAGAAGATAAGTTTTTGATTTCTGCTTAGAGAATGTGGGTGTTGGAATTGACTGAGGCCAACACTGGTTTTGTAGAAGAGGGTAGTAATGGGAGTAGCTGACTTCCTGAGTTTTTATTACTACCAGATACTTTCCTCTGAGTTGTGTACACAGTTCACGTATTTCTCTAAAGAGCGCTAAGGTAGGTGCTATTGTTACCTCCATTTCACATCTCAGGAAATGGAGGTATGCGCAGCTCGAGTGACTCGCCCACAGCCGGAGCCTGGCTTGTGGTGAAGCCCTGGTAAGAACACATGTGGTCCGGCTTGTGCTCCTAGCTGCTTTGCTGCTGACTTAGCTGTGTGACCTCGGGCTTATCACCTGGCCCCTCTGGGTCTGAAGAGTTCACACTGTGTTGTGTGCTGGTATTTGTAGGTGGTCGTACTTCCGTTACTGAGCCTTCAGTCTGGGTTATCTGCTCCGGTTAGGAAAACACTCAACCTACGTCACATTTGTTCGCCCTAGCCCCCACCCAGATTTTTCCTGTCAGCTACTCTTAGAAGGGTTAATAAACAGTCTAACGTCTGAGCAGCAGAGTCTCTGAATGAGTAAGCAAACTCATGCTCCAGAGTTGCAAGATGGTTGAATAGAGTCATGAATCGAGGTTGTTCTCATGGATCTTAAGTTAGTATCTACAGAGTGGTTTGTGAAATGAAATTTTTATCCCACTTTGCTCCAGAAAGACTTTGTGGGGATTTGCAATATCAAAGTGCTTATACATAAAACAATACAGTTTTAAAAGGGCAGAAACCATTTAAAAGCAAGAAAGAGTAGACGAGGACTTCAGAGTTAGTAACGGCAGTTGAGCACTCAGCTTAGCTCTGAGCTTCCAAGTGTCAGGGGCTGCATCTGGGCCGGTGCTGCTTTCATTGTCCGATGACAAGCTGTGTATGCACGTCCTCCTGAAAAGAAACTTTCCTGGCACTGAATCTTGGAAGGACTTTATCAAGTGGATCCTTACTTAAGGGCCACTGAGTAACTTAATGAACAATGTCTTCATTTTGGAACAGCACCAAAGCATTATTGCAGTGGTTATCTCCTATGGATCCTTTATAAAACTGAAGGCACCGTACTAAAATCATGACCCGGAAGGTCTTTTTACAGAGAGTACCTTTAATGAGGTCTGGCTGCATAGCTTTCTCATTGCAAATTTTGGCATAGGGATGGAGGTTTGAGAATCTAGAGCACTTTTTTAGAAACCTTTTTATTGAGTTATAATGAGAATAATAGTTCTTAAACTGGAGTGCACATCTTAGTTACCCAGTTTCAAAATGCTTGTTAGAGCTCTTGTAGGTTTCAGGTGGTTAATTATATCAGAGATAGTAAGTGGGTCTCATCTGCCCACTGCAGACTTGCCTGATTTGGTCTGATACTTGTTCTTGGTTCTGGGATGTGTCTCAGAATTTTTCTCAGTGTGGTATTCAGTTGGTCACTACTAATGGATCAGAGTTGGAATTGGAAGTGAAACCTCTGTGCCATTGGCTGGACCAGATGTTTCAAAGGAGGAGGAAGTGGAGGTTTCACTGACACAGAAAATGCAGAGTGTTAGAAGATTATAAAATTTCTGTTCTTGTTATTAGTAAAAATTGGAGCTACTATTCATTTTGTATTTCTCTCACAAAAGCCACACTGGATGTAGTTGTACCCAGGTCTGTACTCATGACTCACTCTGAAAACAGAGACCAAGATTCCCCTTATGATCTCCTATTTTTGTTCTTCAAAGGAGAGATTTGATTTAAGAGAAGGCAGGGATGCAGGTCTATCAAATCTCCATCTATGACCATTTAGAGTATGTACTACATGCCACTTTGAAACTGGTTTGCCATTCATTCACGAAGGAAATCAGCAGAGGAGAACCAAAATTTCATTAATATTTGCCCCAGGGTGTGACTTATTTCTCCTTGACTTACCAGTGATCTGTCATTTACCATTATCTGATTGTAACAGTTGTTGAGTTTGGTTTCAACTTTTGTACTAAGAAGTGCTCCTTGGAAAAATGGCTCCTTGGGAAGCACTCTCTCAAGTTAGATTTCCTAAGAGTGAAGCTTTGTCAGAAGCATTTCTGGTGAGGCCACTTGGGAGTCCTGAATTTTTTTCAAAATGAATCAGAATATGTGTGGACTACAAAAAGTTCTAAAAGCTGTCAGGCAGTCCTGACTCCCACTTGGAACACCTTGTTGCATTGGGAACTGGGGTAACCTGAAGGCTTGAGCTATTTCTTCCATCCAGACTGTTTTGAAGATGTATCTGATTCAGGGGCATGGCAGGGCATTTGGGAGAAGTGCTGTGATGGAGGTAGGGTAATGTCATCAGCCATAGTAAAGGCACACTAATAGCCAATACAAGGAACCTGTCTCCATTGGGTCTTGTGCCAGAGTCTTAAAAACAGAGACAGTTGTTCTGTGTTTTAAACCATGTTGCGTCTATGCATCTTTCTGAATTGGTATTTCCTTTGATCAGTCAGTGTTAGAATGGTATGAGGTATCTCCTCCCATTCCAAGTCATACATGTATATATTTTTTTTTAAAGTTTTTCTTCATTTATTTTTAGAAAAAGGGGTAGGGAGGGAGAAAGAGAGGAAGAGAAACATTGATGTCTTAGAGAAACCAATTGGTTGCCTCTCACACGCCCCCAAACCAGAGACCTGGCCTCCAACTTAGGCACGTGCCCTGACCAGGAATCAAACCAGCCCACTGAGCCACACCAGTCAGGGTCAAGTCATATATATTTTTACATTTAAACTTCTCTAAAATCAGAAGTTGTTTTATAGTTGATGGCTGCATTGAATATAATATTCTTCACATCTCCCACAGTTACAGTAATCAGACTTATTAAGTTAATGATATTCATAGAATTAAGGAAATATGGCATATATGTTAGAGACTGCAAATTTCTTATGATGGAAATAAAACGCAGATACTTTTCATTTAGCTCCTATATATTGCCACACTTGTTGACTCTGGATGAGAATATTTGCTGAACAAAATGGGGCGTCTTCCAGTGACATTAGCCGTAGTCTCGTCCACGGGATCAGTGACGGGTGTCTATGATCTGGCCCCAGAGGAGTGTATTTTGGTGGGGCGGGGGGAACAAAGCATCAATGGCAAGGGCTATCAACTTCTTGATAATGACCCCCAGTAAAATATAAGTTTTTCCCTTTCACCAAATACACCCACACATACGCATGTGTAATGTTTCACAAAACAGTAATTACCTTACTGTGTGTGATGCACTTAGTGTTTTTGTTCTTTCCTATATATTTTTTAAATATGAAGCAAGAGAAAGCTGGAGGAGTTCATCACCACCAAACCAGTTATCGCAAGAAATGTTAATGAGATTTCCATAAGAAGAAGAAGAAAAATCAGTATGAAAATGTTGCAAAGAAAAAATCTCATTGGCAAAACAAACACAATAAAAGCAGTGAGTCAGCCAACACTACAGTTAGTGTAAAGGTTAAAAGATAAAAGTAGGAAGATCATGTGTAATTACAATAACAAATTAAGGGATATATACATACACACACGAAGTAAACAGTAATGACAAAAACATAAATGTGGAAGGGATGAGTAGAAATGGAAGTGATTTTAGAATGTGTTTGAACTTAAGTGACAATCAACTTAAAACAGACTTCTGTAAACATAGCTTGGTATATATGAAGCACATTGTTACCACAAACCAAAAATCTACAAAAGATATACCAGAAATAAAAGAAACAAATCAAAACATAACACTGCAAAAAGTCACCAACATAGAAGAGAGCAAGACAATAAGAAGGGAACATGGAAGAACTACAAAAACAATAAAAAAGAAAAATTAATGAAAGCCATAATGATATACCTATCAATAATTACTTCAAATATAATGGATTAAATACTCCAATTGAAAGACAAATGGATAAACATGAGGTGCATATATACATAATGAAGTGTTACTTGACCATAAAAAACGATGAAGTCTTACTATATGCAAGAACATGAATGGGCGTAGAGGGCATTATGCTAAGTGAAATAAGTCTGAGGAAGATGAATACCATATGATTTCACTTATATATGGAATCTAAAAACAAAAGAGACAAAACAAACATGGATGTAGAGAACATTTTGATGGTTGCCAGACAGGAGGAGGTAGGGGAGCTGGGTGAAAAGGGTGAAGGGATTAAGAATTATGGATTGACAGTTGCAGAACAGTCTCAGGGATTTCACGTGCAGCTTAGTGAGCATAGTGCAGAATACTGTAACAACTGTATGTGGGTGCCAGATTTATCGGTGGGGGGATCGCTTCGTAAGTTATATGAATGTCTAACCACTATGCTGTACTTCTTAAACTAATACTGTCACTAAAAAATAGAAATACTTAAAAATAAACAACAAAGCGCTAGTGTCAACCCACTGTTATTTTCCATGAGCATTGAATCCACTCATTGATTTCAAGTCCTGCTAATGGGTCACAACCTACCATTTTAAAAACTACAAAGAAATTAACCAAGAGACATAAAGCCGCCCTTATTCACAAGCACCCTGGCCCTTCCTGCTGCCCATGTGAAGAAGTGTAAGAAAAGGTTGATAAAGTGCTAAACGAGTAAACGAGCGGTAAACGAGTAAAATATAATGGGCAAAGTGGATAAAAAAAGAGTAAATGGGTTTTACCAAAAAAGTATCCAAATGATAAAGCAGATTTTTTGTTTGAATTAAGTAGAAATGGCTAAAGGTAGTCATAAACAAGTCTGCTTCTGTGAGGCCTCAGCTAGTTTTTGTCTGGGGATTGTATTATAAAGTGTAATATTGAAGGCCAACGTCTGTTGGCTGGGCAGTTTCACGCCAGCCAGCAGCCAAGGAAGCTCTATCAGGCTGCGGCTGGCCAAGTTCGTGTTAGGCGAGGACCTAGAGCAAGGTGCCTGTTTTAGCTGGTGAAATCAAGCCAGATTGAATTAATCACCCCCTTTCTCCAAAGTCCTGACTGCCTGGGTAAAAAGGTAACTTCCCCAGCAACTGTTTTCTTTGTCATCAATAGAGTGAGATACCTTTTTCAGTAAAGGGGACAGTGCTGGCTAAATGTAATAGTGAAAACACATTCTGCCCAGAACACTGAAGGAAAAACTAATGCTACTATGAAGTAGAGCCATGTGGTATTAACATTTTTTAATACATATTTATAAACTTTATTGACTTGTTTCTCTGTCTACAGAATCTTGTGGAAGAAGAATGAAGTTGCTGATTATGAAGCTACAACATTTTCCATCTTCTATAACAACACCCTGTTCCTGGTCTTGGTCATTGTTGCATCCTTCTTTATACTGAAGAACTTCAACCCCACAGTGTATCCTTCCACCGGCTGATATGTTTTTTAGAAGTCTAGAAACAGTAGTTTGTTTTGGTTTTATACAGGGAGTCAATTTATTAAACAGACTGTGACCTTAGGCAAGTTTCTGAGCATTTAAAATAAGGGCTTTGGTTTGATGTAAACTTCTTTCAAGTTACAAAATTAGGACTTCATGATATGTAAAAATAAGCAGCCTCACAGATATGTGCACCTATTTAAAAAAAGAGTTCCAAGGAGCAAAGGCAAACTTGCTTTCTGTGATAGCTCCTGGTATAAGCCATGTGTCTGTGGATATTTTGGAGCTTTGGGGTTGGGTGGGTAGCCAGAGCAGTTAAATAGGCATATTTCATAATATCTTCACAGTGTTTCATGCTGCTCTTAAATTGAACTTACAGGCAAGATTCAGTCTTCTCTGGTTATGGTAATTTATTAAAGGTGTTACTTAGGAATGTGCAGCCACATTTTTAACAGTTGCAGGTTCTGCTGTAATGATCAGGCACCTTGTGTCTTCTGGGGAGTACTGCAGTGGTTTGTCCCAGCCTAGTCCTGAGTCCGAGAGTCGCTATGAACTTCCAGAACCTCCTTCCTTTGACAGGCCCACGGTGGCCAATACACGGATGGATAGCGGAGTCTTATTTTTTCTTTGCTGTTGAGGGGAGAAAGCAAAACAAGTCTCTCCTTCCCATGTTCTTTGTTCAGCTCTTCTGAAGGTTAAATGGAATTCAGATACTTTGTGATCTCAGGTGTTTTCTTCTTAAAATTGGTGCACACTTCCTGTGAACATTATTTTTTGCAGCCTCCTGGTTTGTAAGTTGTGTTTGCAGACAGTGGGACTACATACTATACAGGGTTTGGAAATGGCACATTCCAAAGAGAAGGGCTCTTTTTGTTTTGTTGAAAAACTGATTTTGGGTTCTTAATTTTTCCTTAACATTAAATTCTTACAGGAACTATATTCTGTCCATAAGCGCTTCATCAGGTCTCATCGCCCTCCTTTCTACTGGCTCCAAGTAGATGGACTGCATCAGCCTCACCCCCCGGCTCTGCATCTACGGGTGGCCTGTGGCATATGAAAAGCAGCGGGTGGTCAGGGTGCGAGACACATGAGATGTTTTTGTAGTCTGGAGTTGGAAGGTTTGAAAAACCCAGCACGATGTAATTTAGTATTTGTTTGTTGGCTCTTTTTTTGACAGATTGTTGAAATTATATGACTTGAAAGGGACACTCAGAGTACCAGGACACTTATTAAAAGGCAAAGTGTGTCTCCCAACGTGCTGTAATCACAAGAGGAGAAAATAACTTGTTTCTTTGATTTGTCAGAGGTCACAGTAACCTGGACTGAACTGTTGTTATTTGTAATAGTAGCAAGAAGTTAACTGCTGGTTCTGTGTGTTCCAAACACAATATTACAACTGTTTTGGAACCAGAAATACCAGACTGAATCCTCTTCCTTCCCCTTTCCCCCAGCTGGGCGGCGGGACTGAACTTCATGTTTACAAGTCTCTGAATTTGTGATTGGAAATAACTCAATTAACGTTAAAAACATGGTTTATCCAGCTTGGGGAAGAGAAACTTGTGGAAAAGTTCTTTTTTTAAAAAAGAAGCAAGGCAGCCACAGCAGTAACGACTGACAGTGCCCAGGCATGTGAGAGTTGCCCTGTGGGGTTGAAGTCGCCCTGTTCAGCTGTGTAGCTTTGGCCTTGGGCAGCCGGGGAGGTCAGTTTGACCCTGGCGTGCTAGTTTGACTTGTTGAGAGACTGGCACCGTTTTCTTGGAGCGGGGTTTTACTGCTGGAGGACTGGTCCCTGAGATTGACATGTAAAAGACCAGAGTAATTTTTGTGATCTTAGCTCCAGAATTTGAAGAGCATTCCAAGGAATGAAAGTGATTTTAGAGCTCGTCAGCATTTTTCCACTCAGATGTTTATAAATTTGACCTTCCAGTCCACAGGTTCCCATTGATTGTGAATAAAATATTGATCTGTTCAGCCCTTGGGGGTCCAGTCAAGAGTCATTTCTTTCCTTTTTTAACCAGTGTGTGTACAGATTTATTTTCTGTGTGTGTCATGATTTGAACAAGTTTGGGAAGCTCTTGGAATCCCAGGTGATAGTGGTTTCATATTCCTGTTAGGCTTGACCACATCCAATATTCCTTATAAGCAGTACCTCAAAGGAAATGCATTTCTAATTCCCAACCCTGGGGAAGATATCAGTCTTCCCTTTCCACTTCTGAATTTAAGATGAGTGTTGCCAATAATACTTGCTGTTTTATTAACTTTATAGAAAGAGTCATCAGGAGCTCATGTTCTACTTCTAGGCAGTTAGGTGTTTTGGTGAGGTCGCAACCCAGAACTCAGAAGGAAGACAGGGAGGAATACACTTGCATCGTGACCCAGGTCGTCATTGTCTGCAGTAGAGGATTATATTCCGTCACTGCTTCTGGAAGGTTGCAGTCATTTGCTCTGATGCATTGTTACCCATGTGCCATCACTGGATGATAGTGAATGGGGATGTCAGAAGAGATGCACTGCAAAGTAGTTAGTGTGGCACATAAGAGGTTTATTTTTATGTTCAACCTTTTTTTCCCCTGTTGATAAATAACCAGTCAGTAGTTTGACAAGTAGCATTGAGTTTTGTGTACCAGATGGACTTGCTTACTCGAAGAAATGACTGACAAACCCTCAGCATCTACTATTGGTTACTAGAGCTGGGCGGCATATCCTTTTAAATTGGCAGTAAAAAATTGCCACTAGATGGCAGTGCCTGTGTAGATGGGGGAAGAATTGCGGTCCTCCTTAGTATGTACAGTGTGGCTGAAGTGGGGTGGTGAAATAGAGGCATCAACTTAGAATTCTTCAAAGACTTTTTCTTGAATTGATAGGCCAAATAATTCATAGAAAAGCAAGTAAGCATAATTTCATTTTGATTCTGAATTTTTCTTACAGCACTCTGTTTTTCATCCTGATAACTATTTCTAGCTTCCTATACTAGATAAATTTCTCTGCACAAGTGTATGAGGCGTGTACTCACAGTGCCACAGTTTTATGCAGGACATTAATACCCTGCTCTTGCAAATTGCAGAGCCTCTTCCCCAGTCCTCCCCGTGTCGTCTAAAATGGCTGCGTGGCACACAGAATTCGGGTGTGCTGATTCTGGTTTAGTTGATAAAACCTTGCTGGAGAATTTCTCATCTCAAAAAGACTCTCAGATCCAACAACAGGAAAATAAAGGGTTCTATTGGGATTTAGAGTGATTCAATCCCTTTTTACACTAGAGGCTTAAGGTGTTGGAACATTTTATATTTCCCTATTTTTAGTTTCTTCATTTGCAACTTAATAAAAACCTTGGATTGAAATTATTCTTAGCCAATAAAAAAATTTACTGGTTGTTCTATTTAGCGTATTATCCTAATTTGGAAAGAACAACTTAAAACAAGTTTTACAGTTAATTGAAATATGGAGGTTGGATTCATATCTAAAATTTTTGTGAAAGGTCTTGCTAATTAGGTGTCATTAAACTTACCTTTTAAATTTTCTTTTTCCCTAGTCTATATAAGAACCAGGTGAGTGAGTACATCATCTTTCTATTACATTATTTTACACCACCCATCATTTAAGTTTCCCACACATGTAAAGGGGCATTTTTGTAGTTCCTCATCACATGTTTGCGTGGCAGTGTCTGGTGTGGTGTGCAGTTCCATCACAGAGCAGGACGGCAGGCCTCTGCCAGTGTGTGCCTGCCATGCTGTGCTGAGCACCCCAGTGCTCGTGCTGGGTACTCCTGGTACTGGAGACAGAGAGTGGGGATAGACATAGGCACATGCATGTGTAGAGAAAAGCAGTTACAGAGTATGTATCTGGGCTGGAAGGGGTTGTCTCCTGCCTGCATGGACTCCCAGGCAGGGGAATTAAGGTTAGGGGTAGTTTCGAGTGGTTGGTTTAAGTTTCCACGGAGGTGGTTAGAGACCGCACATTGGCCTTCATGGGCATTAGCCTTCCTGAGTTTTAGGTATCACTTTCTTGGCCTTTCCCTCTTTACTGGTTCTGAATTTGGATTCATATCCAAACTTTTTTTAACTTAAAAATTCACACACACAGTTACTTTTCCACAAAGCTTCGAAGCTAAAAAAAGAAAATTGTACTTTTTAAAAACACTGAACTAAATACTTGGATTCCAGGCCTGGTCCTGCCATCAACTGGCGGTGTGAGTTTGGGCAAGACCTTCTATCATTTCAGGCTTGGTTTGCTCATTTGCCAAGGAAGGGTGGTCTTGATGGCCAGGGTCCCTTGAGGCTCTGCTATCTGTCTTATGACCTGTGGCACACTGTTAATGAAGGTGAAGTGACAGTTCTGAAAGTGGAAAGCCAGGCACAGGGTTTCCAGTGTTCACTTACCCTGGCTGAAATTTCAGGGTGTGGAGGGCTGCTGCCCGGGCTACTCTGAGGAATGGTATGTTCTGTCCCAAGGAATTCTTTCCATGGAAGAAACTGAAATGAGAGTGCATGGAAATTTTTCCTAAGGATATAATTGTGAAGTGTATTTCTTATCTAGTATATTTACCACGGCAGATGACTTGTATATAAAAAAGGATTGCTGATCCTACGACTAAGCAATAATGTTTGTATTTGATTTTAATTTGCAGGCTCTTTTATTAATAAATGAGATTGAGAAGCTTTAACCTTAGTGCAGAGTACTTCTAAAACCCAATGAGAAATGATATCTTCAGTAGCTAGTCCTCTACTCCATTAATAAGAAAAATATAGATTGCAGTTTAATTCTTGATCACTGCTATTTTTCTTAGATATCATTCATTGTAGCCTACTTGCCAACATAATTTTTATTAAATGAATGTTACTGCCTGTTTTATGAAGCTGGATAGGTGGAGGTATGTATCTCCAGCCATATATAGATATATATGCACGCACACACAGCCTTCTCGTGAAAGGAAGATCAGATAAAAAACATTAAATGCACAAAATGCGTTTATTACTCTAAGCAAATTAATAGGTTAAACTGCAGCTTCAGTCAGACAACTTCGGCTCATTTACACATACAGCAGTTCGCTGATTGAATTCACAGAAACAACTGAGAAGTGATCCATTTTCATCATCACTCTGATACTTTGGGGCAAAACCCAAACTATTTCCTTAATTGAATACAGATAGTAGTAACCAAAGAGGAAATTTATTGGTATTTCACATTAACATTTTGAGATTTAGAACTTTACTATGAAATACATATCTGGAAATGATGGTATAAAATAGCATTTAAAGCTGATATATTTCTGTAAATCTCAATGATTTCTATATGAGGGACCAGCTGGCCAGAAAATTAAGTTAAAATTTTGTACATGCTTAGATATCCAAATAGAGTTACAGCATTCCCGCCCCCAACATACAACCCCAAAAAGAGAAAAAAAAATTGTTTTTCTCTCTTCTAACAGGTACACACAATATACTCCCCCCAGTTTCCCTCCCGTGGAGTATTCCGGAGGGTAGGTGGCCGACAGTGGCAGGGCCGGGTAGACCTCGGCTTCGGAGTGCACCAAAGCTGGGCCACTTGAATCCATGCAGTGAGCTCTCATGCATATAGTTCAGTGCACATAATGTGGTTACAGAATCAGGAGGTTCTTTAACATTTTGCTTTTTGTTGGGCAAGTTCATTCACCCAGCATATGCTGAGTGGTGACAACATTTTTCACAAAGCCTGTGATTTCCTTTTATGTTGTTAACTCCTCAAAAACACCAAGCATTATATTGTAAAATCCCAGTGCTAATTAAACAGCAAACATTTGCCTTTCTGGGTATTTTACAGGTTTACTGAAAAAACCCCGAGCCTGTGTATATTTGTTTTTAAAGCTCAAAAATATAAACTTGCAGAAGTTGTGTCTATAAGCAGTCAAAAATATAAAGCAGGTTTTCATAAAACGTAGTCAAAAATGAACATTTCATTGCAAATGCATTACATTTTACTCAAAGCTAAACTTCCATAGTAATGTAATCCTCCCTTTTCATAAGTTTACCATAATCGCCCTTTTACCATCTCTGCATGTAAATGAACATAACATCATTAGAATACTGATAGACACCTTGGGTAAGCTGCTATCTACAGGGTTGTTCTTGGGCTAAGCAACAGTGAATATTTAAAAGATAATGAAAGCTAGGAGTTACAGTTTTGTTGAAAATGATTAGTGAAACAACTTGATAACAACAGGAATGTGGGAATAGAAAAAAAATGTAAAATTGTTCCTGCTTATTTTCCCAAACAGGACTTGCGCGCGAACATAGCCTACTCTTTCTGGTGTGGTCACATTGCGTCTGTGAGTGTTGCTCTTCCGTAAAAACATCTATCTGTATAGCCTTCTTTAAGTTACCAAATGTCTGAAAGTACTACGTCCTTCCTGCCCACATACTTTCCATTGCATTAGCATGAGGTGTACAGAGAGCAATGCAAGAACAGGTGACTCCAGTCCAAGATAAGAAAATAGGATGGATTTTCTTCGTTGTGAATTTTCAGATGTGCTCATAATTCAGGTGCACAGTGGTAGTGACAGCAGACACCTCAGAGTCCGGGGACACTAGAGGTTGAGCAGCGGCTGCTAAGTGATTTAAAAGACTGGCTAGTAACACCTTTCTGTATCGGTGTGGACCGATGTTTTAACCATGCAGCGCCTGTGGCTCATGCATTGCCTTATGACCTGTAGTCCTTTTTGCTGTAGGGCTTGTTGCGCAATATGTTATCAATCTCATTTACCACATGTGATGTCATCTTCGGGAGAACCTGAGGGCATGAGAAGCACAAAAGATGTCGTTAGTTGTTGATGTTTGTTCTTTGTGCTGGATGTTAGGCAGAGTTGTCCAGACTGCTGTACGTTTAGGAACCATGACTGAAATACAAGCTCCCCACGAGACTAAGCTCCTTGAGGTCAGGGACCTTGTTTTGTTCACCTGTGTTATCTCCAGTGTCTCTAAGGGCACTTGGCCCGTAGTTAGGGCTCATAACTATTGGTTGACTGAATAAGGGAAGACATGAGACACAAATGAAGGCTGAAAGAAATATATCCAGAGCGGCTCTGCCCAGTGGAAACACGATGTGAGCCACGTAATGTACTTTTAGATCTTCTAGTGGCCACATTAATAGCAGTAAAAAGAAATGGGTGAAATTAATACATGATTTTACCCCATTATATCCAAAACATCATTTCAACCTGTAGTCAGTATAGAAAATTCTTAAGATGCTTTACATTTTTTTAAAGTACTAAGTTTTGCAAATGTACCGTGCATTTTGCACTGACACTGCGTTTGGACTGGCTGCCTAGCGTATGCTAAATAGCCACATGTGGCTAGAGGCTACTGTGCTGGCCAGCACAGGTTTCGAGACTAAGGCGAGATTTTTTTTTTTTAACAATTTTTAAAAAGATTTTATTTATTCATAGAGGGAAGGGAAGGGAGGGAGAAAGAGAGGGAAACAGCAATGTGTGGTTGCTTCTTGTGCACCCCCTACTGGGGACCTGGCCTGCAACCCAGGCCTGACTGGGAATTGAAGCAGCACCCCTTTAGTCCCAAGGCCAGCACTCAATCCGGTGAGCTACACGAGCCAGGGGCAAGGAGGGGTTTACCACTGGTGGTCGGAACCTTGGTGAAGGATGGCCAGGGGTTAACGGGCATCCCGGGTAGATGGAATAGCATGAGAAAGTAAAATGTCCGTGAAACACAGTGATGCAAGTGTGAAACAAGTGGTGGAGGTAGGGCCATGGTAGGAACTGGGGAAAGAGAAGCTAGAGTGGAAGACAGGGTGGGAGGCCTTGAATATCATTTTCTTTTTGGAGTCGGGACTTTATTCTGTAGACAGTGGGGAACCTCTCAGAACTTCTCAGCTGGGACTGAACCCTGCAGACACCTGGTGGTAGTTTGAAGGGAGAGCTGGAGCAGATGGAAAGGGGACAGGCAGGTCAGAAATGTACTGTTGTCCTAGGCAGTGACACTGAGGCCTCACTAGGACAGGGCCGTGGAGGAGAAAAGGGGCATGGATCTGAGACACTGGAGGAGGATGGCGATGCCCGGACTGCGTGACGAGAGAGACGCTGATGTGGGTGATGGAGATCAGACGCCACAGGAGAAGCGGGGGGTAGGACGTGTTGAGTTTACGGTGCCTGTGGCATGTCCGTGTGGAAATGCGCTGTGGAGCTGGCTTGCCAGAAGCAGGAGGACGGGAGTCTGGGATCTGAGTCATGCGCACGGACACGCTAACTGAAGCCCTGGGAACGGATGAGATCACCCAGGGCAGGCACTCATTGTGAGAAGCGGGCCAAGGGCACACACTACACCGCAAGACAAGGGACAGAGGCAGACTTCACAGGAATAGCCTGACCCTGTGTGGGGACTGTGATGAAATGTAGTTATGACAACCAGTCCTGCGGTTGCGGCCTCACCCTTCCTCTGCGGCAGTCCCGCTGGCCAGGGCGACCTTGTCTCCACTCGGGAGCCCTTCTCAGAAACCCTCGGGTTGGTAGAGCGGCAGAGCTGCTCAGTTTGGGGAACTGGTTCTGATTACTGTTTCTCTAGCAGAAGGTGAAGGAGGGGTTTGACACTGGAGACACTTCCCAGCAGTTCAGGAGTCTCTGAGGATCTAAACTAATGTGTCATTTAAAGTGAGATTGCAACCGTGAGACCCAAATCTAGAAACTGGGTTTGTTGGAAGTTTCGTGCTAAAATATAGTGGGTGAACCACATGATGAAAGAAACTCCGCTCATTACACCACAATAAATTTCAGATAGAGATTTAAACATGTAAAAAAGCTGAAACCATAAAAGTACTTGAATAAAACATGAAACATGTATATATAGTGTCACAGACCTAAATTTTCAAGAGAAGCCACCCAGAATTTTATGTGAGATTGCTCAAGTTTTTAAATGTTGACAGCTGTTTTAAAACACTTGCATCCACAGATTACACAACATCCCACAGGCCACCAGTTTTGCGATGTCGGCGTTATACTGACTGGAGGAATTGGTGGGTAGGGGGCAGTCTGGCCAGTGCTGCCCAGTTAGTGGGGTGCTAGGGAAGTCCTCCCGGGGCTGGGTCACCGTTGAGTCGGACCTTGGGGTCGGAGCAGTATTTTCGTGGGCTGGGGTGGTGGACCCTTTGTCGGCAGAGGACCACTGTTACTTCTGGGGATCCCAGTGGTTCCTGGTGGCTGGGGATGAGATCCGGGGAAGGTGAGCCCCGGATGGGAAGGGCCGGACGCTGGGGAGCCTGGACTGCTCTGATTGGGTGATGGGGCCTCAGAAGGGTCTTGAGGCTGGTGGGGTGGAGGGGAGAGGCAACCCTCTTCTTTTCAGGTAGAAGCGGGCAGGACAGGGGCCTGTGCAGACGAGGGCGGGCCGCCTGCAGCTCTGGCTTCTCCGCTCCCGTCTCCCATCCGTCGAGGTTCTGACTTACATGTGCTCCTCTAGCTCACACATGACGTTGGTGTGCTTTATCCCTTGGCACAGTGGTCTTGATGGGCCCACCAGAAATTTCCTTTCAACTACTGGCACTGCAGCTTTCTATCCTGCACCCGATCCCAGTACTGCCCTGGACCCCCAGCCACCCAGCCTGCTCCTTGCCCCGTGGAGGGGCCCAGTCACAGCTTGCCTGGGGTGGATTCTTAGGTGCTCGGCTGGTGGAAGATGGGAGTAGGAAGGGGGCCTGGTGGATGCTAAGCGCCCACGGGGGCAGCCTCAGTTCTTGGGTAATTACCTCCCTTTTCTCTTACCCTTTTCTCTTACCCTTAGAGCATGGTGGCCCATTTCGCTACTAGCGAGGGCCTTGCCGGGGAGATGCTGTGGGAAGATGCCTTAGTTTTTCCCTGAAATGTGCCCGCAGCTACCTGGAGCGCTCCCACAGCGCAGGAGTGACCTCTTTCCCATCCAGGCCTCTGCACTCACCCGGATGGCAGGGCTCACAGTGTGTCAGCCTTACAGGAACCCCGGTTCCTCCCTCTTCCCGCCAGTCTGTCAGCAAGTCCCAAAACCTCTTTCCAAAACCTGCAGGACCCATCCACTTCACCTCCCTGGCCATGATCACCTGCCACCTGGACAACTGCCCGTGCCTTTCTTTTTACTTCCCACACAGCAGCCAGTGTAATCTTCTAAAATTCTAATAATGGCATGTTCCTCCTCTTCTTAAAACTCTCCAAAGGACTTGTTACATGTTGAGTAAAACTCTGACCCCTCTCGTGTCCTGTGAGATCTGTCCCCTGCCTGCCGCTCCACTCCTGTGCATCCACTGTCCCTTGCTCTCTGTGTGCTGGCCACGCCAGTCCCAGGCCGGCAGTTCCCGGAAAAGGCCAAGTCCCTGCCAGCCTCAGGGCCTTGACCCAGCTCCTCCCTGCGTCTGGAATGCGCTGTCCTGGGTTTCCGCACGCTGTCTCCTCATCTTCCAGGCTTCAGAGTGCACGCAACCTGCGGGGCTTTGGCAAGGACGTTACTGAAAGCGGGTCCACCCATTTCTCAAGGAGTCTGTATGACAACGCCCTCTTTACAAGAGCCCTCCTCACAATGTGAAAGTATTCATTTACCCCGTGTCTCTCCCACTAGAATGGAAGCTCCTTGAAGGCTGGACAATATGTTTTAGTGCCTGCCTGGTCTCGGTAGGCGCTCCGAGGTCTGCTGAACGCGCTGAGGAATAGATCGCTAACTCGCTCTCGGCTAGCCCTCGGGTTCTTGAGGGCAGGGTCCTATTCCGAGCCCAGCACTCTGTGCCTGGCGTGCTGCCAGACGTAGAACACGTGCTCGCTGCGTGTTAGTGGGATTGAAATCATGGGGTGGAATCCCAGTGCTCTCGTGTACAGACTGTTCCCTTATTTCCTCCTCGTCACTGTGCAGCCTTTATCTTTTCCCGAGCACCCGTGAGAAGAAGAGATGGTGGGGCGGCTTCCCTAGGAGGGAGCATTCCCCATGCCAGGGTGGAGACGCCCCCAGAATCCAGGAGAGTTGAGGGGCCCCGAGGGGCTCATGGAAGCAGAGGTGGAGATGATGACACGGCCGCACAGCCCCATGAAGGTGATGGCGGGGGGAGGAAGACTGCACCCCCAGCATGCCCTGGGCTATTCAAAAGGGTTTCTAAACATTTTAAGTTCGGTCAACTTGGTCCCCACCTCCACCTGTTTCTCTCGGGAGAGGTAACGGGGTGAGATAAGTGCCTGCTTCGGGGACAGGTGGACGGGGAAGAAGGTGTGAGACAGGTCTGTTCCCCAGTGAGCAAAAGGAAAAGATACCGTGGGGCAAGAGTTGGCTATGGCAGGAGCCATGGGTGGGCTGCTTCCGGGCCCTCAGCAGGGCTGAGCAGCGCCCAGGACTGGGATTCGGCCTTTGCGGGAGGAGGACGTCCTGAAGCGGCTAAGCCCCACCCCTCTCCTCAGAACTCCCTTGGCCCCTCCTACTGCCCTTGCAGGCTCCGCCCAGTGCCTGCGGCCTCAGGCAATCCACCCAGGGCTGTGAGTGGGGATGGGCACCTCCGAATTTCCTGCCAGGGAAATGTAACCCTGGACATCCAAACTAGAATTCTGACCCTATTTCTTTTCAAGCAACATCACAAACATCCATTCAACAGGTGTTTCTGGAGCGTAACTAAGGGCTGTATCGTGTGCTAGAACCGGAGATCAGTGGAGAAGCGAGACACACAACAGGTCTCTGACCTCAGGGAGCTCACAGTCCAGCGGGGACAGTTCCACCACGGAGTCACAAGTGCTGCGACGGGAGAGGGCGGGCAGGACGCTGGGAGGGCAGTCTAGGCTGCCAGATGTGTTTGTGGAAAGAACAAGTGAGTGTGGTGTTCTGTGGCTGTTACATTTTAAGTAGGTTATTAGGCAGGCTTTCGCGGTCAGGCCAGAGGACCGGGTCACCAGGTGTAACACTGCTTGGATCGTGGAGTGCCCTGCCCCACAGACACACGCCATCCGGAGAAATGAGGTTTGAGAACACTGCCTGTTAATAAGAGGACACTCCCGGATCCATGTACCATGAAAGCTCTGTTACCTCTTATGCCTTTGTTCCTACTTCCCACCCCCGCCCCCACCCCCACCCCAGTCTGGGAACAAACAGCCTGTTAGGGACGTTCATATAACTGGGAAACTGTGCCACGAGGAAGGACAGATGTGGGGAGAGACAGGACCTTGCCCGGGGACATCTTCAAAGTCACCATGAAACTCCCCGGAGTGGTGGGAAGGGCTGTGGTACTTGCCTGGATTGCACCCAGGTTCTCAATGAGCTGCTCAGGTGTGGATGATCCCAGGAGCACAGAGCTCACGCCCTCGTTTCTTAGGCACCATGCTGGAAAGAGAGAACACTGGGTCAGGGGATCGAAGCCCTCCTGATGATCGATTAGCTTGCAAACACCACCTACAGCCACCCTTGCTGCGACCAAAACTTACTAACATCATCGGGGAGGATAGACAGCGCACTCCAGGATTAAAAACCTCAGCAGCAGCCCTGTCCTGGAGAGGATTTGGTAGGGTCCGTGTGTTTGAATCCTGAGTTTAGAGCTCTGTGTTTTCTACGTAGGCCCTTGCTCTAACTGGGGCGTCCAATCCAGCTCCCCAGCCCAGGTCCACGTTCTTGCTCTGGAAACCACCTGACACTGCCCTCTGGCAGACGTCTGGGTCCCTGTGTCCATGCTGGCCCACAGCCTCCTCCTTTCCATCTTAGTCATTCTCTCGCTTCCGCCTCATCTATTCCGCAGCGTCCTTGCAGACTTTGAGTGTCTGGTTCCCTCATTTCCACCTACCTGTCAGCCCTCTCTGGACCCTTTCTTCCTAACACGGGATTCATCCTGTGTTGACGATCTCCCCAACCCTCAAATCCCTCACTCCTCTCCTTCCTCTGCCTCTCTGGTAACCTCTAAAACCCTCTGTCAACACCTGCCCCTCGATCCCAGCAGATAGCCTGGCCTTTGACTTTGTAAACAATTAAGTCCGTTCATCAGGTGGGATATTAATTCATCACTCTCCCACGGACACAATCCACATCCGTGTCCTCCAGTTTCAGAGGATGCCACGTGCTGATTCTGTCTGAGGCCACGCTCTGCCCTGGACCTGTCTCTCTGTCCTTTCTTGGACCTGAGTCCTTCATTCTCTCTCCTTGTGCTTACAGTAGACTTCTCAGTTCGTAGCTGCCTGGAACTAGGTGATTCTGTAGACCCATGGGTGCAGTGTCTGCTGGGTGTCCCTGCTAGGGGTCCCATAGGCACTGCAGACTTCTTGCTGCTTTCTCCTAAGCCCGTCTGTCCTGTGTTCCCAGTCTCACTGGGTGGCTTCACTAGCAGCTTGGCCTCCCACTCTGGGAACCTGGGGCTTATACTTAGGGATTTTCCTTTTCTGATCCCACATTCCCCTTTAATTGCCAAGTCTAGTTGCTATTTAAATATTTCTCTAATCCAGTGGCTCTCAAAGTTTAGCATGCATCAGAACCACCCAGGGCTTGTGAAACAGCAATTACTGGGTGCCACCCCCAGGGTTACTAACTCAGAAGCTCTGGGCGGGCCTAAGTATCTGCATTTTTTTCTTTCTTTTCTTTCATCTTTTTAAAATTGATTTGCGAGAGAGGGGAAAACATTGACTTGTTGTTCCACTCATTTATGCATTCATTTGTTGCTTCTTGTACGTGCCCTGACAAGGGATTAAACCCACGACCTTGGTGAATCGGGATGACACTCTAACAACTGAGCTACCCCGCAGGGACTGAGAACCTGCATTCCTGACAAGCTCCCATGTGCTGCTGATGCTGCGGATCCAGGGGCCATGTTTTCTTTTTTAAAAACCTTTACTGAGGTGAAATTTACATACCAAAATTTTTTACCTATTCTGTGTATAATTCAGTAATTTTTAGTAAATGTCTCAAGCGTGCAACCATCACCATTAAGATCCAGGTTTCGAACATCTCCATCACCTCAATAAGCTCCTTCATGCCTGTTCTCAAAGTCCGTCCCATTCCTACTACCAACCCCAGGTGAGTGCTCGTCTGCTCTGTGCCCTGGGCACTTACTGTTTCTGGATGCTTCAGCTAAATACAGTTATTTCTTTCACTTCACAGATTTGTGAGGTTCATCCGTGTTACAGCATGCATCAGTATGGCACTTTTTTTTCCTGCTGAGTTGTGTGGATGCAGAGACCACAGCCGAGAATTACGGCTCTGGTTCAATTATCCGCTGCCCTCCGTCAGGCCCTCACCAGCCCCTGCCCGACTGTCTGGCTTTTCCTCTTGTTCAGATGGCCCCCACCCCTACCCCATTCCACCCCGGCACAGCTTTCACGTGTCCAGCAGCAGTTTCTCCAGATATAAATCTGACCATGTTGCTTGCCTGGCTCAGCATTCTTCGACGTGTGCCTGACGTAATTCCTGTTCTATAAGATGAGGTTCCCATTTCTCACCCTGGCACACCTGGCTTTCTAGCCCAGCTCTCCAGCTTCTTGTCCCCTCGTTTCCTGCCTTGAACTTCGTGCTTCAGGAGCACTAAATTATTTGTAAATCCTCTCCATCCCCTTGGCTCAAGCAGTCTCCTTGACCTGGAATTTCTTTTTGCCTCCTCCCTTCCTTTGCCTCACTAGTATCTACTCATCATTTGAGATTCCCCGTGGGAACTATCTTCTCCCAAAGCCCTTCCCTGAATCCAAGGCTGGGTTGGGAGCCGGTAGACGTTGCTTCCAAAACCCCCGGGCCTTTCCCAATTATTTCACTACAGCACTGTATCACAGTGATCTGCTCACTGTTTTGACTCTCCCATCAGGCCGTGAGGTGTGTTTATCTGTGTTTGGATGCTCGGCACACAGCCCAGTACCTGCACACAGCAGGTGCTCAGGAAATGTTTGTTGACCAAACATAGGCATGAATGATCGGTGGATGGAAGAGGGTCCGAGCTCCTCTCCTGCCCCATTTGCTCAAGGCCCTGCTGTCAACTAGTACTCTTAAGCTGTTGCCACGCTCAGGCCTTTTAAGGCAATTGCTAACTCTTTCCACCTGGGCAAAATAATGCTCTATAAAGGCAACAAGCCAAGTGATTCAGGGCTTTTTCTTTGTGAGGCTGTATTATTTCCTCCTTTGCACTTATAACTCTTTGGTGCTAGGGGAAGTTCTGAGGGGAAAGCAGGATACGGAGAAAATCATTGCCCACAAGCTGCTTGGTATCAGCCACAGCCAATTCCCCACGCTGGCCTGCAGCGTATAAGAGACCCTACCGGGCAGAACTGGCTAGCAGCAGAGGCAGCACGTGCAGATGACTGTAGATAATTAGCATCTAACCAAGTGTGACCAAGCAGGCAATCCAGCCTGGCTCTTGCCCAGCAAGGTGTGGATGCTGGCTGCGGTGCAGGTGCAGGACAGGAGAGCAGTTGGCTTCAAGCAGTTTGTTTCCTGCTGGAGGATTCCCCTCCCCCACACCCTCTAGCAGGTCAAAGGTAATATGCCTGGAATAATTCCTTTCTTGGTTTGAGAGTTCTGTGGTTAAAAACAAAATTACTTGTTTATAAAGAATAAAAAAAATGACTGGCAAGATAGACATCTGGGGGCACACGGAGAGGAAAAGGAGAAACAAAGCATGTTTTAATTTAAACTCAGATTCTCTAGAGAGGGTCTATTGTAGATATCTAATATCTAGTGCAAGTCTAAATCCTGTAAAGATTTCCTCTTTAGAGAGACAATTTCCGACTCCTTCAGAGTTAAATTTAATACTCACTTTCATGCTACTGCCTAAAAACCGTGTTTCTGACTGTTCCTGGAATAAGTATTGCTCTTTGTGCCTATTCCTTTGACCACATGTCATGGCTACGGGTAGACTCAGTTTCGGGTCCAGGGTGTCTTAATTCTTCACAAAACACATCCTCATTCTCATCATCATCGTTACAGTTACTACAAAGAGCACCTACTCTTTGCTTTACATATGTAATTTCCCTTTAGCCAACAAGTGTGTACGGTATGTATTATTATACCCATTTTACAGGTGAGAAAATTGACAGCATGTTAAAGAACTTGCTGATGGTCAAATAACTAATATTTTTTACTGTGTTTATCTCAGCTGTAGGGATGCTAACTAATCACATTACATATATTCTTTTTTCTTTAAGGAAGGATTAAAGCAGCAGTTATCTATGTACTTCGGTGAACGGTATTCTCCCCCCACCCCCACAATCACCTCCCATTTCCGTCTTTCCGTCTCCCATTTCCATTTCCTGTTAATGGCAGCTACTGTTTCCTGGCCTTCCAGCCTCAGAAGGGTCAAGCACCTGGCAAATATTCTATCACATTATTTTATTTGTCTAGGACTTATCTTAAGTTCTTTTAAAAAATCTCATTAGGACACTGTACCTGATTTTTCCCAATTCCTGCTATTTCTTAATCCTTAGGAATTTTTTTTTCCTAGACTGTACCACTATTTTATTCTTTTCCCACAGTGTTAGCTAGGACAACGGTCTCAAGGTCTGGGCCCTCCTTACTATTGCAAATGCTCTTCTTGCTGTATGTGAGAATGTAGCACAGTATTTCACAGCCAGCTGTAAACAGGATGCGTGTGGCAGTAACCCAACCCAGTGAGTATAGGCAATTGAAACCGTGTGATTGACCAAATAGGGTACATAAGCAATGGCTAACTCTCCCTTCCGGAAACAGCTTTGGATATGAATCCCTTGTCTCCTTTATGTGCTGCCAGGAAATAAAACGACCTTGTGACAACCGTGTCCCAGACTCAAGGAGCTGCGAACTCCTTGAGTCTGGTAACACCAGCTACCACATGAATTCTTTATCTTCAGTTTCTTTGTAAAGTGGAGGTAATAACAGCAGATGCTCCATTAACATCTGTGCAGTAGGGTTTGTGATAGCACTTGGCCCCTAGGATCGTTTCGACCATTAAGGGGACGAGATAGTGGCAGAAAGCGTTTGTCACAGAGCCTGGCAAATCTCCCCCAGCAAGGAAACTGAAAGTCCAAATGCCTTCCTGGGCGTCACTAGCCACAGTGCCTGTCGAACACCTGAGACGTGGTCGGGCTGCGCGGAGATGTGCTGTTGGTGTCAAACACACTTCAGATTTTGAAGACTTAGTATGAAAAACAGTGTAAAAGATCTCAATTACTTTTATAGTTGTGATATATGTTGGCTATCTGGGGTTAAATAAAATCCTTTTGCACAATTAATTTCGCCTATGTCCCTTTGCCTTTTTGAATATGGCCACTGGAACGCTGAAAGTTAAATATGTGGCTCATGCTATACTTCTATCGGACAGTGCTGGTGCATGAGGTTTTCAGTTGTTACCAGTGACCGTGACCTTTCATCGACGTCACAGTCTAGAAGAGCAGTGTCTACGGCCCCTTGGGAGTTTCAGGGTGAAGCTGCTCCTCTAGGACAGGCTTCCCACGTGGCCGTGGGCCTCCCCCGCAGCCCGCCCAAGGCCGGCGTCCCAGCCTCTCACCCCCTTTGCCTAACCTTCCACAGGGATGGAAACTGAGCCAGAGGCAGTGGATGTCCCTGCACGGTTCAGATGGTCTCACCCGACACTGGGAGTGCGGATGAGTGCGTTTTCACGCACGCGTTCTCCTTTGCACTGTGTTATAAGGGAGAGGGGAAGGGCAAACAGTTTTTAGCTCATAGAAAATTCTGGGGAGCTTCGAAAACCCTGTTTTAAATAGTTTTAACCAGGAATTTAAGCTCCAGAGATCAGTCTGCCCTACAACAGATATTTTGTCATGGTGTGGGTGGGGGCCAAGCAGAGGGAACGGTCCGGTACCGTCTGGGCTCCGGCAGAGCCCCGCCCCGGGGGGCGTTGCCTTACCCACAGCCAGCTGGGGGAGCGTGCAGCCCAGGCGCTCAGCGATGGGCGCGAGGTCTTTCAGCTTGTTTTGTTGTTTCCTCCCTTCTTCACTCACAATTCTTTCCTTCAGCCACTGGTAGCACTAGGAATGAAAAGAACATTGGAACGTTCAAGTCTGGTAGGGGCTTGATGTCAGAGCCTGCTAATTCCATGAACTAGAAGAGCATCCCGGTGAATCCCCGCATCTCCCTGCCTTGGGCCGCAGGCGAGAAGAGACGTTCCTCGCGGTCTTGCTCCTCCTTTACGGGCTCAAGACAGACAGCCATCAACATGCACCACAGTGGTTGAAGTCCTGACGTAATCAATTATGCCCAGTTTGCTAAGTGGGAGAAATGGTGTTTCTTATTGAACTAGCCTGATTTTAGAAGGTAGCCAAAGGAAAAAAAAAAAAAGCATTTACATTTCACCAAGGTCTAGTACATGTCCTTTTCCTCAAGAAAGCTGGGCATCTAGCTCCCTGCTCAGAGGAAGCTGTTATCTTACGTCCGTGTTATAACTCCCTTTTTCTTGCCTTCCCTTTATTCCCAGTCCCGTGTTCTTGTGATGGGGCTTTACTATGAGCTTGCTGGTTCCTTCCTGGCAGTACACGTGGTGTCACTGATAGGAATCAAGCACATTTTTAAGCTTTTCAAGTGACAAAAGACTTTCCCAAATGTGTAATGAAACTTAAAAAGGTAAAGAAACTCAAAATGGGAAACTATTCTTTAAAACCTATGAGAATTGACTGACCCTGATGTGTAGACTGCAGAGCGAGACTGATTTCCTAAATACGAGGAGAAAAATCTTTAAAACTTCTCAGTGGCCTACTTTCCAGAAGGTTCTGCTCTTACTAGGATGTAGGGAACAATAGACTCTTCCACACAAAGCTAGCATTAAGCTCCAACACCCCAAGGAAAAGAATATTTGTTAAGAGTCTGCTGGCCTGTTTTAGTGAAAATAATGAGACCCATCCTGCGTGGGGCCGCGTGGACTTTCTGCATTGTGTGTCGTTGCGACACCAGGGCCGCAACAGCCCGTCCCCTTCCTCAAGGCGGCAGCTGCGGGCTCTGCGGTTGTTGTCACCGGCACTCGCCCACATTTCAACAGGCAGCTGGCTTTTGTTTTTAAAGTACTCCCCCCGCGCCCCCCCACCCAATTCTAAGACAGTGTTTCCAAAGAACAGGGGAACCACAGTCGGTTTTGTTATGATCTTGGGGAACGGTTTTGCAGATGTGAAAGAGAGAAAGGGCAAGCCACCCCAGTTCTGTGCGTCTCTGACCTCTCAAAGGCTCGGGGCCTGGCTCCTCACTGGAGCCTCTGGCTGTTTCCCCAGCCTCAGCCCTGGGAAACCTCTGCTTCTTCCGGGAGGAAGGGTGGCCTGCAGACCACAGCCGCTGCCAACAGTGATGAGGTGCACAGTTATGACCATGAGTGGGAGGCCGGGGCCCAGCAGTCTCCCCTGAGCGGGGTGCTGGGTGTGCCGAGAGCCCTGAGCTTCCTCGTGCTGTCCCCAAAGGGGAAAACATCACCAGGCCTCCCTTCACAATGCCCTTCACAGGACCAGTGTCTGAATATCATGCAGATTTTAAAAGGATTGAAAACCAATTGGTGGATGCTTTTTGAACAATTACTTTTTATTATAACTAAGAGAGTTCCTGAGGGTTCAGCATATACCACACACATAAAGAGTGGTTGGTTTACTTATCAATCTACGGGAATCCATTTTTCAAATAGTTTGTGCAATGCATTTTTACCCTGGGGATCGAGTTACAGGTTGTTTACTGTGTGTGTGTGTGTGTGTGTGTGTGTGTGTGTGTGTGTTCGCGTGCACCAGCATAACGCCCTGCTAGAGGCAGGCTTCCAAAAGTGACGCATGTCAGATACTCAGTTGTGGAATCACTCTCTCTCCACTTCAACACTGTCAACCTCACTGTTGTTTAACTATTGGAAGACAAGGAGGTTAGCGTTTTTAAAAAAGTAGATGCATAGGATTTACATTGCTTTCCTCCTACCAAAGGAAACAAAAGTGCTTTGGAAATAAATAGCTTTACCTGCTTTACAAGGGGGAAAATGTTAAGAGGTGAGGCTTAATTAAAATATTAATTAACTATGGAAACAAACCACTGTTTGAGAAGGTTGGCAGTGGATGTGGTTGTGCACAGTAAGAAACCAGCTTGTAGACTGGGCAATAATCTATGAATCAAAAGATGAAATTTCCTCTTCCAGCCCTATTATATTGCTCACCCCATTGCTGCAGTGATTTGACTGTGTGTTGATATTTCTTTCTAAGAGGAAGGCAGGGGGAGGTTCTTATCCATCTCAGCATCTCCGGTCCTGACACTGGTTGGCAGAGGAGGGGCCAGCCCACACGGCCTGGGGAGAGGAACCTGAGAAACCAGGGGTTGAGCACCCCCACCTTCAGGCATGCAGCTTTGCCTTGCCGGAAGTCTTGCATGAGTCCACAGTGCTGGTGGGCTCCCCGTTGGTCCCTAATGCACCCTTTCACTGCCGGTCTCTTGACGAGCCCCCATGTTACTCCGCAAGGGCCGAGGCTGCCCCACTCACCCCTGTGCCCTCAGCACTCAGCACGGAGCCCCGCATGGAGCAGAGAATACCTGTTAGCCAAAGGGACAATGGGAAGAGCTTTTCTCCACAGGTCAGTGGGCCACTACTTGTATCTGCGAGTCACAGTATTTTCTCAAGTTTTCCTCATGCTCATTTCTTTGCTGCCTCCCAGTGCTGCGACTGTGACCCATGGGTCTGCATTTTACAGGGACTGACACCGGACAGGCGACAGTCTGTGAGACTGGCCCTGAGCGGCCCCGGCTGGTTGTCAATGACCCCGGGCTGGAACTCAGACAGCCACTACGAAGCCACGGATAGTGGCAGTCACGTTTCACCTCTGGGTCTCGTCTAGAACACTTTGTCATCCAAGATCATTGATTTTTCTGATTAAACATCAAATTCTTTGGCTCCAAAGAGCAGCAAAGTCTTCACTAGTGAGGTTGAAATCACTAGGGAAAGTGCTGGAGCTAAAAAATTTCCTGAAGCCCTGGCTGGCACAGCTCAGTGGATTGAGCGTGGGCTGTGAACCAAAGTGTTGCAGGTTCGATTCCCAGCCAGGGTACATGCCTGGGTTGCAGGCAATAACCCCCAGCAACTGCACATTGATGTTTCTCTCTCTATCTCCCTCCCTTCCCTCTCTAAAAATAAATAAATAAAATCTTTAAAAAACAAACAAACAAAAAATTTCCTGAAATGAGACCGTGCTATGCAATATCCTTAGTTCCTTAACGTGAACACCTGCGGTAAGTACCCGGACAGCCCCTCTCCCCCAGCTTGGATTCACTGAGCTTCGCACGTTGCCTATTTCCCTTTGACAGAGGGGTGCACATTTTTGTGATTTTTCTATAAGGTGTTTTGCTAACAACTGAGGGGAGCTGCTCCTAAGTCTCATGGCACTTTTCATTTCTAGACTTTCTATTTAAAAGAAGCTACATACCTGGTCTCTCGCTCACTTTGTTGATCTTCTATTTATGGCTCACTGCATTCATTCCACAAGCATTTACTGAGCATTTATTATGTGCCAGGCTCTGTGATGGGGTACATGAGTCAAGTTTCAGTGTCTTTCCTAGAAATAGTCTCAAGTCACTGAGCAGTGTGTTGTAGTTGGGTGTCCCTCTCAGTGATTTCCTCAGAGCCCATGTCTGTGCCACCTCCCCGTGGGAAATACCCGACCAAGGAGATGATGTGAGGAAATGACAGCGCCTTATCTTTTTTTCCACTGTCGTCGGTCTAACAGGTTGGCACATGACCCAACCTTGGTCAGTCTTTTCTTGACTGAAACTGATAAATAAAGTATCTCTATTCTCTCAGGTTTCATGGCTTTCAGGGTATAAGTCTGCAATCATCAGCTTTCCTGCTGCCGGCCTCGTGGAGAACACCTACTTTCGGTAGAAGACAGTGACACCCAGTGCAGAGAGAGAGAGAGAGAGAGAGACCGAGGAGACCGAGTCCTGACAACGTGCAAGCCTGCGGAGGGGTCGCCCCTGAAGCCGTCTCCACTAGGCCTTCCCCAGGAGCGTCTGAGTGGTCCCCTTCTTTGATTACATTAGTTTGAATTGAGTTCTACTGCCTGCATCCAGAGAATTCTGACTCTGTAAGAAGCGTTTATGGAATAATAGAAGAAGGTGCAAATAACTGTTTTATAAAGTGAGGACAGGCTACACAGACAACCAAGCTCTGTCTTTGGAGATGAGGAGAACTTCCACAGCAGGATGAAAAGAAGGGCGTTTCTGGGAGGCCAAAGGGAGTCCAGTGCGTTTGGGTGGAAAACAAAGTGATACAATCGGGGAGGGACAAGAACAGAAAAATGAGCCCGACTTAGATCCCAAGGGGATGTCCTTGAATGCTTTTCTGTGGGGCTTGGGTTCTGTCCTGTAAGCAGTGATTGGGAAGTCTTTAAAGAATTTTAAGCAGGGTCATCATATGGTCAGATCAATTTTTTAGAAATGTAATTGGCCACAGGGACAGCAGTTGAGAAGAGGGGAAGGAAATTCAGAGAGTGCAGAGAGGGGGTTACCGCAGCAAACCAGGAAAGGAACGATGAAGGTCCGAACCCAGGCTGCCCAGGACGGAGCGCAGCGGGTCAGGGCGCAGACTGGGGGACGGCTGCCCCATGGGACAGGGCGAGGGAGGGGAGGAGGCAGCTTGACAGGGCACAGCCTTGGCTTCTGACCACGTGGGTGGGTGGAGGCGCTGTTAACCGGGAAGGAGGGGCAGGTTTTGGGAGTGAGGATAGATTCCCTTAGGTTTTATAGCAGCCTCCCAGAATCCTCCTGGGTAGTATTACTTTCTAAAATAAAAGTGTTTGTTGTACGGGGTTAATTTATCCCTCCAATACAATTCTATACTTACAGCAGACACAAAATATCAGCACCTTCATTTTATTGGTGTGTCTTACAATAGCCAGTTTGAAACATCAGTCATTCTATTTTGGGGGGAAGAGGGTATGTGAAAGTTGGCAACTCATTTATCTATGTGCTTAGCTCTCTCTATTAAATTTGTTTTTTTTGTATTTTACTATTAGCATTCTCATTCACTCCTAAGGCTGCCCTGATACTTGCTATCCCCCCCACCCCCCACCGCCGCCCCACTTGAGTGGCTTTTCTATGTGCACCTCTGTTAGTCCAGGAAACACTCAGGCTGACCCTTTAGGAAGCCTCAAGTGTCTTTGGAACTCTAAAAAGTGTGCTATAGGATAGGCTGCCTTTCACCTGCTGAGAGCCCTTAATGGTTATCATTAAGGATGTTTCAAAATAGATGTTGAGCTGACTTTATAAAAGTCAAAAATAGAAATATTTTCTGAGTTGCTTTTGGGCTTTGTATCTATGATACGCCTTCTTGTTTTTTTCTTTCTCCTTTGGTTAGTGCATTTGTGAACATTGTTTTTTTTCCCCAGCTGTCTGTAAGCTTTTCTCAAATGGTGATGGGGGTTAGCCAATCTTACACTCCAAATCTAGGGTAGCCACCTCTTCTTTCAAAAACTGGGTTTGGGGGAGATAAATTGAGTGCCAGGAGACCTGAGTTCCCACGGCAACCTTCTCTACTATGAGTTTACGCTCTTGGATCGGTATCCAACCTCTTTGCGCTCAGCTCTACATCTGGAAAAAGCCTTGTAAGGATAGTCTGAGAACAAATCCCCAACATAAACATGGGAGTACTTTGAGCTTTTTAGAAAGTCTTTGAAAGAATGTCAGGCCACATGCTTAGCTGCCACTGACTAATATCCATCTCTATCCATTTGTCTTTGTGAGGGTAAAAGGAGATGAATAAAAACTCTTAGCCCAGTGTTTGGCACATAGTAGGTGCTCAATAAAATTGCTATTTTCAATGCTTCCCTTCCTTCTTCACTCTCTTCTTGCCTTTTATACCATCTTCCCTAAACTGTTTCTTAGTTTTTCTCTGCTGACTTATTCAGACTTGGTTCAGAACAATCTTCCATGTTTAGAAGCAAGACCATATTTCATATTCTAGTGTAATTACATTTGTGATAATGCAAAACTAGAAATAGGACCATCATGCTTATATTGTATTATTTTTTAGAACAAACAAGCCAACTGTTTGTTTAGAACAAACAGGGCAACTGTTACGGGCAGAAAGGAAAGTGGCAGACCTTAAGATGGTTCTGATTAGGGAAGCACATGCGGTCCCAGCCACACGGATGAAAGGGCTACTGGTTTGGGCCGAACTTGAGCTGACCTCCCACTGACTTTGTGCTGATGGAGGCAAGCGGCTTTCAGGCTTCTGCTGCCTCTGTGGGGCGCGGGGCCTATCTGGATTTTGAAAATGCACGGATTCTCTCTCCCGATACTACAGAGTAATTTGTGATTCTAATGTTATTACACATTCTCATACGTTTTTAAAAACAAACATGTTGTTATTAATAAGGAGCGATGTTTGGAGTACTCTCCAATAAATTAAGCATCAAGATGTTCTGAATAGAGGCAATTTTATGCCAATGATCTTGAATATCTTTATGCTGCAGGAAAGAATTTAAGCCACAGGACTTCGAGGCCAGAGCGGACCTCTGAACACCAGCCCTGAGCCCCAGTGACAAGGGCGTGGCTGTGTGTTTGCTCTGAGTGCCCCCTTCTGACCCTCCCCCCCCACGCGGTGAAAACATCAGCCACCCTACAACCTCGCTCAGCTGCAACCGGTTGGTCCCATGTGGATTAAATTTCTGTGGCTTACATTTTGTCTTGTCAAGAAAAGTGAAGTTAGATCCTCCTTACATAGGAAAGGGATTTTTACATTTTTTCAGTTTGAAATGCCTTTTTTTTAACATAAGCATAAAGAACAGTGTAGGGATTCGCGCTCCAGGAGTCCCACCAGGTCATTGGGCTTTGCCGCCAGGCTGCAGAGGAGGAGAGGTGTCTGTGCCGGCAGACTGGGAAGGGCTGGAGCCTGCTTCAGGGACCTCTCCCGGCCAAGGCCACGCTGTGCGTCAGCCGGAAGCCACCGGCTGCTGCACCGCTGTTCTGATTCATCTTCCCTCCTCTCTGCAACCCTGTCTCCCACCCCCAGACTCTCTCCTAGAGGTGGAGGGAAATACCTTCAGAGACGCCCTGGAGCTTTCAGGTACCCCGTTCCCATATTTTCCTGAGATGATTCCACAGGCAAGTGGGGACCAGGTCATCGCTCCAACTCCTACAGGAGAAAAACAGCTTACAAAGCTGCTTGTTGCGAATGGAATCAAAGGTGTGGGGGTGTTCAAGCGGGACTTCGCTAGTTATGGGAAGAAGCTGGGCAGATAGGAAGCACGAATGTCAGCATACATCCTTATTAAAGTTTAGACATTTATAAACTGTGCTTTTATAAACCAATTACACAGGCAGAGTCAGTTATAGGGAATGGGCCTTATAAACAAGCCTGGAAAGGTGGCTTATTCACCTACAAACTTTACGTTTCTTTTTACACTCAGACACAAACACTTTTACTTGCATGGAAATGCAGCGCTCTGCTTGACCACTCAGTTCCAAATGGTGCCTGGCACATACCAGATGCACAATGCCTAGTGCATGCTAAACACACAGTAAGTGTTAGCAATAGTAAGAGTTGCTACTGTTGAAATTTTTTTTTATCCTGTTTCTCCCTCACCCAACATTTTCCTGCTCATATAAACCTCTTTCTTAGGAGGAAAGTTATCTCTGGAAACTTTTTAAGAAAAAATAAATAAGCCTGAAAATGTGGCTTTCTCATGTTTTTTCTGAGGTCCAGAATTCTTGTGTATGTCTTGTGCATGTATTTCCCCTCTCTCTTTGCAATCATTCTATCCGCTTACACAAACACGTAGAGCCTGGCCTGTGAGCTGCTCTGGAATCCCTCCGGTCTGACTCTGCTCCAGGCACAGAGTGGGAGACAGATGTTTATATCCATGTTTTTTTGAAAAGCTAATCATAATCCACTCATGTTTTGGCTACAGCAAGCACCCTATGAAAATTGAGTTTATTTACTGTTTCTTCCCTTCATTCTGTATGCATTTTTTGAACACCTGCTGAGTACGGCTTATGCACCAGTCACAATGTGCTGTAGCCGCCCTGTTTGCACATACGCCCATTTGATTCGTCTGCAGTCTCTGGAATGCATAGCTCTCCCATCCCCGGGTTAATGAGGGGCATTTAGGAAAGCATTTCAGTGACTCTTTTTCCAGATCACTGGGCCTCCTATTGTTAAAAAGTCATCAGTAAATTTGATTGAGAAAATTACCTATTTTATGGTAGAGCTCTGGTAGCTGAACCTCTACTTTCTCTCTCTGGAAAAGGTGGTACTCAGCTTGTTCACACACTGGAGGGATCATGTTGAATTGTCTTGCTACAGAATAGGCTTCCTAGGGAGAAATAAGATTGCAGCTGGGTTTATACTGATGAGAAATAAGACGGCCCTGTGATTCATATGCATGAGAAATTTTCATTGCAGCAAAATCAGTACAAACCAAGAAACACGTATGATGCAAAATAATAAGCCGAGTTGTAAGCATCAGTTTCACTAAGGGCAATACGAAACGCAGGTAACCCTTACTATTCTTCAGGAGGCCCTGGGCTGAGTCCAGCCCAGGGTGAATTGGTCCAAGTGTGACTTACGGACCATGATAAGGAAAATGAGGTTTGCCTGTTTTTAGGTTTCCAAAACAATGAAACTTGGACTAATACCTACAGATAACCTCTCATTAGCACGTGAAAAATAGTACAGTTTTAAAATAGAGTTTTTAAAAAAAAACTAGACTATCGTGTTCATATATCTCATTAGCTAAGAAATTTAACTTACTCTTTTACCACCAAAAACAGTAAAATATGATTCCTTTTAGAGATCAACCCTCCCTGCTGTGCTCCGAGCTGATGAGGTCCAGCCTCCGTATCCTTCTCTGTAATGATAGCATTGACTGTAGAGTTCTAGGGCCACAGTGACTGTGAGGAAAGATTACAAGAGGTCTTGTGATTTACACGTGGCATCTGAAGACCAGTGCAGGCACACCTCAGAGACACTGCAGCTTCTGCTCCAGACAGCTGTAATGCAGTGAACCTCACAGTAGGGTGAGGCACACAAATGCTCGGTTTCCCAGTACTTATAAAAGTTAGGTTCACACTATTCTGTAGTCTATTAAGTGTGTAATAGCATTACATCTAGAAAATGCACATAACTTGATTAAAAAATACATTATTGCTTAAAAATGCTAACCATCATCTAAGCCTTCAGCAAGAAGTAATCCTTTAGCTGGTGGGTGGTAACATCAAAGATCACTGATCACAGATCACCAGAACAAATGTAATAATAGTGAAAAAGTTTGAAATATTGTGAGAATTACCAAAAGGTCATACAGAGACACGAAGTGAGCAGGTGATGTTGGAAAAATGGCATCAATAGACTTGCTTGATTGTGGGATTGCTACAAACCTTCAATTGGTAAAAAACATTGTATCTGTGAAGCGCAATAAAGCAAAGTGCAATAATCCCTGCAATGAGATGCCCAACGGCCATTCAAAGATGGAAACGAAATTACCATGATCTCCATGGCACTCCACCGCGAGGTTCCCCAGTACATCGCCATGCCTTGGTTTATCACATGCGTCATGGCTCGAACAATTTCTGTGGAAGGCCGAACAGAGAGCATTTCATGAGCTTCTCTACTTTGCAAAGTTATGTGGTCTTCCCCGCCACCCCCACTGCCCCGGCCAAGGCTTGGATGTTTAATCCAAATATTTCCAAGTATTTGTTTGATTAATATAATTGCTCTGACATTGGTGACAACATAATAGTCTACCATGAAATATTGATGGTGTGGAAGCTGGTGGTGCTTTTGGGTAAATTGACTTTCCATTTCCATTTGCAGCAGCAGCACTAAATGATATTAAAAACATAATGAGCACTTTAAGTTCTTCCTTTATTTTTATTGCCTCATGGTTCCTGGCCTGATAAAAGAGCTCATGATTAACCTCCTTCGGAACCTGGGTACTTTGCTCACTAATGTGAGAAGGAAGAGACAGCATGGGTTTTGACCTTGTGGAATGGAAGGTCATCGAGAATAGGAGGCCTGCCTTTGTGTGTTGCATGTGTAGAGCTGGGCCTCACACAGCGTGGTGTATAATAGAGGTGACTCAGCAGACATGAATTTAGCAGAAAGATAAACATATTAAATGAAGAACAAACAGCTGAAGCCACAGTGGCTCCCAGCCCACAATGGCACTCCTTGTGCTTGACCACTTTGAACCAAATTTTATTCAAGACGCCGATGTAATAGATTTCACTGGGGCCTGTTCATGGCCTCACCCAGTTTGCTCATCAGCCTCTTTCAGCTTGACATCACATTTCCTGAACAGGACACTGAATCCCCAGAGAGGTGGAGCGCAGCTCAGCCTCTGGGCACCAGCCAGGTGTGGCGCAGAACCAGAGAGCACGGAGAGCTTCAAGTTCAGCTGAGTGAGAAGTCACAATCACGGTTGCATTTCTTCTACAAAGCAGGTCAGCCAACCACCGAGGATGCTAGGTCAGTTGACATGTTCAAGGGCTGCAGACCTTAGCTTCTCTGGGTCCCTGTAGTACCTGTGGATTCAATGTCCTTCAGAAGAGTCAAATCCTGGCTGCAAAGTTGAGTTGTGGTAGATGTATTTTTATATGATTTCTCACAAGCAAGCACTGTGTAAATTGATAGGGAACAGGGTTTGGAATGTGACAGCAAGGTTAGGGTCTTAGCTTCCTCACTTGGTTTATGTAAACCACTTTAAATTGCCCTTGGTTTCTTTCTTGGGAAGATGGGAATGTTTTTCTTCACCATTGTCTACCCAACAGAGATAGAATTTGGTTTATAAGCAAACTAAAATAACTCAGCAATAGAAACTAGGAAGTTTATTTTCCCTTTTTAAAACAAATTAGATACACAAAGTTATATGAAAGATTTTCTGTTATTTTGCAAATGGTAATAAACATTTCTGAAAGTTGAAAGCCCCAGAGGTATTCTCTCCTTTTGGACATCTCCATGGGGGTCCTGCTCCCTTTCCTTTCCCCTCCGGTTCCATTCACAGCCGAGAAGGAAGAGTTCGTTCAACCGACAGTATTAATTAGGTGTCTGCTCCGCTGGGTGGTGGGGATACTGTGGTGAATCCCACATATGGGTAAATACTGTTGAGGCTCACAGAGAATACACCGAACCCAAGATGCTCCCCTTTCCCTAAGTCTGTGATCAGGTAAGATGAGCACAGAACACTGGGGACGCGGGTCAGGGAAGAAGGAAGGGAGAGGGAGACTCGTGGGAATGAGATGGAGGCGGGAACAGTCGGGTGGGAAGGACTCTCCTGCCAGCTGGTGGGCCCCAGAGGTGTGCAGGACTCGCCCAGGAAGACACGGGAGCTCCTGTTTGAGGAATCCTACTCTCAATAAGCGATCAGTCGTGTGAGAGTGAGGTGGGTGTGGGAAGTGAGGAAGAGGAGAGAATAAATAGTCCCGAGTGTGGAAGGCCCTATGCGTGAAAGTCCGATGCCACAGGCACTTGGGTTGTTGGTAATTTCTTTCTCCCTCATCTGCTTGGCCTCTGACCCCGCAGAGACGAGCTGGGTGGAATACTGAAAGGAGAACTCCGGGAGTCCTATTCCTTTGTCAGAAGCAAAATAGTTTTCTTTGTAAACCATATAGTATTGCAAGATTTGTAGTTTATTGAGCACAGTATTCCAACTTGAAAAAGAGCCAAAAGATGACAAAAAAATTGTAAACTGGGCTGAATGAACTAAGCCAAGTTTCTCTTTCCTTCTCATTTTGCCTTAATTGGGTGAAAGCACTTCTCACGAGTTCTGAGGAAAAAGGTGTTTTTAGAACCACTTTAATGGATAGTACCACACACTGCCCCAATGACTGTCCCCAGGAATTATTTAAAAATAGAATGTATGGAAAGAGGGAAGGACCAAGGCTCTTATTTTCAGTTTCCTTTCATTTGTAGTAAAAGCTTTAATCCAGGAATTCTTACCCTGGAGGAGGCTTCAGGGAGACATTAGGGGGGAACTGAGAGGCTGCAGTTGGAGATTCGTGTTGCCAGAAAGAAAAATTTAATTTAACACACATTAATTTTTTTTAAATGTCAGAGAAAAATCCCCCGAGTGTTTAGCTAACAGGAAATTGCCATACTGATGGCTGAGGGGGTTTTTACGTGGTTCTACTATTTAGGGACACTAGAGGGCAGCATTGTTGAGAAAAAAATTAACTTCTGTTGTTTTACTTGTGCGGCATGGAAATGCATTTTAAAAGTATAGTCAGAGCATCGATTCTGAGTCAGGAGGACATTAGGAAGATCACTTAGTGCATTGCATTCACCTGCTCCTGGGAAAGAACACAGACAACCTGATTAAATCTGGCAATCCAATACTGAATGTGACTATCCTGTTTTTCCAGGAAGCCCTAGCACCAGGGGTTCTCAGCCCTGACTGCACATTCAAAACTGCACTATCCAGGCTCAGTATTACACTACACTCAGAACTGTACTAACCGAAACTCTATTATATCGGAATCTCTGGAGTTGAGGCCTGGCACTGGTGCTTTAAAAACACATCCCTCGTGAGCCTAGGGTGCAGGCAGGGCTGAGAACCACCGTGCTCGTCTACACCAATGTTCCCCAAGCAAGGCAGCAGCAGCCACCTCTGGCAACTTCTTAGAGATGCAGAGCCTAGGGCTTCACCCCAGACCTCCTGAATTATAAATCTGGGGGCCGGAGGGGCCCAGCAGTCTGTTTTAACCAGCCCTCCAAGCAATTCTGGTGCAGAACAAAGTTTGAGAACCACCGCTTTATAACATTCCCAAGTAAGGCGTTTCAGTGGGTATGAACTTCCTCTCACCATTCTTTCTGCTCTTTCATCCGATCTCAATGCTTCATGCTGCAATTTAACCTTTAGGTTAGTTATTTGCTTTAGTAGATGTGTAAACTGGTAGTCACTATGGCATGCATGTACTCTTGCACGTGCGTGTGCATGTGCACACACACTTGGGTATGAGTCGGGATCACCTGAGGAAGGTGATAAACACACAGAGGTGCAGGTCCTGTCCCTCTTCAATGAGCCTGGGCCTTTGGATTATTTTCATTAGCTCTCAAATCTCAAAGTTCGAGAAATACTGTCTACACTATCAAAAAAACAACAACCACCACCAAACCCAAAACCCGTGTTAAATCTTCCCTGCACACTCCTTTCCAGGGTGGAGTCATCATTGCTGTTCTTCAACCTGCAGGCCGCAGGCAGCTCTCTCTCCCACTCCCTGCGCCCCAGCACCTAGCTGGCCGTCTGTGCATGCCACAAGTCAGTTCTGCCTCTCCGAAGATTCTGTGTCCCCAGCGGTAAAGTGAGGAGGGTATCGATCCTGTGGAGCCCTTTCGAGCTTGACCTGACATGAGGTGTGTAGAGTGATCTGTGAATCTAAGAGCAACACAAACTGAGAAGCGAGGAAGCAGGACGTGGTTCTGGTTGTTTCTTGTTGCTTCTCAAGTAGACTCCGATTCTCACATTTTAGTTACAAAAAAAAAAAAAGCTGGCATTCTCCTTTCAGTAATGTAGGTCATCTATATTTTAAAATATGTATTTTAAGCTAACGGCCTTAATAAAACTTTATTTTAAGTGAAAACAATTTGTTGATAAACATTTTTTTAATTGTCTCTCATGCCAAAAATGGTCGCTCGCATTAGACCTCTGTTCAGGGGAATCGCTCCCTAGAACCTTGGAGGCTGTGAGCGGAGAGTTACCCTGCGTGAGCCCCAGGGACTGAAGGTAAATGTGCAGAAATTAGTGTTTTCATAAAATGCACTCGAGTTCGCCTGGCCACGAAGACATGAAATAATAAAAACAAAAGGAACATTAGACACCTTCCAGTGCAGTCTCCTCTCACTAGAGGAGGAAATACAGGCTAGGAGTCCCTTGTTTTAAGGCATACTTAAAAGCTCGAATGTTATTAATAATTATAACTATTTCAAATATAGTTACAAAATGCCGAGATTGGATTGAACTATATAGTGGACTATGTGATTTTGTCCTAGTTTTCTAAGTTTCTATAAATGTGTGTTATTATACTTTCATAATCTAAAAAATAAAGAAGAAAGAAGGTTCCCTAACAAGAATAGCATTACTTTAAAGCACTAACATGCTATAGATTAATTCACAAATGTTAGGTTTTGTGAATTTTTAGAGGTCAAAAATCGTTGACTATTGGCAGTGTCATGGACACGGTTCGGCCTCACTGCCATCAGATCTTCCTTCCTGGAAGGAAGGTGGCGGCTGGGGCGCGGGCAGAACGTGGAGGCTCGGTTTCACCAGAGGAACTGTGAACACTGATAAAAAACAAACAGATCTAGACCTGGGCGCAAGTTTTACTCCAAACCAGCTGTTTGTTCTTTGTATATATAAACTTGACTTGTTCATTAACTTCAGACGCTTGTGGCGGTGCTGGTTTCTAATGATGCTTCTTTGTGGCTTAGACATTTCTTCTTGGTTCTTTATCAGTCCTTTATCATCTTGCCTTGGAGACTCCTCCCTCAGTGCCCAGCTGAGGGTCTGGAGGTAGAGGACAATCCTTCTCGCAGGAATGACACTCATACCCACAAAGGAAGTGACACCACGGTT